TCTTCAAGGGAGCAGAGACAAGGATTTTTTTTCCTTACTTTATCTTAAATTTATGATATTTCTTATAGTTCTTGGCATATGTAAGCCTTAAATAAATGCTTCTTCAATGAATAATAGAACGAGTGAAGAAAATACTTGGTTGTAATACGTCATTTGGTTTGAAAATGACTAATGATACTGAATGAACCATTTACTTTGAAGGGATTCACCCAGCACTGATAGATATATGTGGCCCACAAAGGTGACCAATTCATTGAATCCCTGTGAAGTTTTCCTGCACTGTGTTTTAAGATGTGGCCACTGCATACTGTTTTATGCTGTATTTACATGTATAAGTATTGATGTCTGGAATCCCTCCTCCTTTATCTTTGCTTTCTTAATCTGTTTAAATAATCTCAATGGTATTGCTTGAAACAAACCCCATATAAACCTCATTCTTTCGTTAGCGCTTTATCACCATCTGCTAATATATTCAAGAGACACAATTCTAACACAAAAACATCAATGCGGAAGTACATATATTTTAATATTTTGGTTCAAATTTATTTTTTTAAACTGCACTTATACAGTTGTTTCTTAATCTCAATAGAGCATTTGCAGAAATTGTTCACTTCTGTTCTTAGACTGCAGAATTAAACGATCTGTGGAATCATTCTAAATTATTCATTAAAGCCCCACTGAATTTGTTTTTGAAGCATGCATTTATGGAAGCACTGAACACATGTTTAAAGTGCTGTGAATGAATTCGAATAACTTCAGTTGCTATTGCCATGTGAAATGCAAATATGCTCTGAAAATGTGATAGTTAGGCAAAAATGATGGGGCCAGCTAAAGTCAGAGGGGCTAGTGACACAATTAGTTTGTTTTCCTACAGAGAGCATCATCAGAACACTAGCAATTTCATTATTTACTCCTAAAGCTATAGCCTAGGAAGCATAGCAAGCCAATTCCTGCTTCCAGGGCTCCCCAATGCCTCAAGCTACAGGTTTGTTCTTCACAGCCTCTTTTTTTTTAACCACTTTTTATTCAAATGCATTTCCATCTAGGGGTAGAAATTGATATTTTATTGTGTCCATTTTCCTATGTATGTCATGGTACAAGATTCTAGATCGTGAGATGAGCTCAGGGCACCAATAATGGCTCTGGACGCGTGTTTCCTTGGTCCCTGCAGAGCAACGATATGACTGGACTTGGAATTCCACAAGCAGCCTGGATTCAGGTGCAGCACAGACAATGAAGACAGACGAAACCTGGAAGAAGTTGGGGCACTAATAAAACTGCAACACAGTCCACCCAACACTTGCCTCCAAAGTTTTATCACAATAACACTAAAAGCTAGAAATTCACTTACTACACACCAAAGCATAAAAACTTCAATTCATTCATAGAGCATGTTTTTCTTCCTGATAAGTGTGTATCTACGATTGTTTCTATAAAATGACAAAACACTACTACGAAAGAAACTTCAGCCATTAGGAAGAAATTATTTTTCCTGCTTATCTCCTCCCATTCCAGATCTCAGAATGGTTTTGAAGATTCCAAAAAGCTAGTCCAATTCCCTTTTATTCAATACAAATGTGACAAAACATTTTGATAACAGTTTGAAGTAAAAGTTATTTGTAACATTACAAAATAATCTTTTAAAACTAAAAAAGAATTTAATGGAGTGTTCCTTGGCCAAACTAGTTATTAACCTTATGAAAAGAAAATAATTATTTTAGACAACTGGACAGATTGCCTAAAAGCACAACTAAATTTGATATTTGAAGTTTACCACAAGAAATACAGCAGTAGCAGAAATCAACTGGAAGGGACCAAGGCATTTAAAAAAAACCAACTGAATACAATTTAAACTTCATCCTGCAGAGCACTAAAATCAGCCAATAACAGCATGGAATAGTTGGAGGCCTTGAAATTATAATCACTGTTTAACATGCATTTCTTGGAAAGCCTTGTTTTACAGAGTCCTGAAACCTTGGACTCCTGGACAGATTTACTTTAAAAACTGAATTTGGAAAAATAATTGAATGAGATGAAGTTGGTGGGACACTTTTCCCCGTGTCTCCCCAGTGATGTTTGCGAGAACATTTCGGACGTGGGCAAACACGGAGCACAATCATGTACTGATGGAGGGGTTGGAAATAATTTACAAAATTAATTTAATAAAATGCTTAGAACAGTGACAGTCATTAACAAAACAATAACGGAGCTGTCTGTGTTTTCATGTAACAACACACTTAAAGAAAAAGTCGAGTTGATATAAAAATTAGATTCAGCAAACTGATATCAGACATAACACAATGAAAAATAATGTTCACGTGGAAGAAGTACAGTTCTGACAGCATCTCTAGGTGCCTTCCAAATATCTCGTTTAACTTCTGGGGTATGTGGAGCACAGCTCACTATAACCTGACAACGTTTAATTTGACTAGCAGGATACTTCTCCAAATAAAACACCGTGTTTCCCTTACCATGCCAGATAAAATAACTTAATACATATTTTAACAAATGACCCCTACTAACTGCAAACAAGCATTTTCTTCTTTAATTTCTAGCACTACTTCTGGTTCTTACAGACATCTGTGTTAAAATTCTAATTCTCATGCTGTCCCTGAAAGGAACAATATTTTTATCATGAAGTGGTGATTTACCTCTAAAATGTACTTTATGTGGAAAAGTTTCATCATAAAAAAAAAAAACCACTTATATCATGATTGATTACACTACACTTTAGAAAACAAGCACAGAGTTTGAGCTCAAACAAACTGGGTTTCAATATTGAGCGTTACAGTTGAACCTGGGGAGGCTCCCTGGTTCACTGGCCCTCAGCTCCTGAACCACAAGTGTTTTTACGAAAACGTTGCTACAGTGCCCCACTGCTGGCACAGAGTTGAACAAGAGCTATGCGCTTGCCTGTCACAAGCAAGAAGTGGTGTTTAACCCTACAGCTATTAATGCATTTCTCCCTTTATCCCCCATTCTGGTGTATTTTGTCTAATTTGAAATAAGAGAAAAAAATGTGGAAGTTATCGAAATAAATCAGTTCATCTACACTGTAGGCAACTGCTTCACACTTGGAAAATAACCTTGAATAAGTTCAAAACACTGCTTTTAAAAATGTATTTACACTTTACAATTTGTATGAAATAAAAGCTTTTGAAGGGTAACAATGAAATAAGCTACATCTATGTGGATAGTTTAATCTTGTAAAAATGAAGAAAATTGTATCCCCAATTTTATCAAATGCTGAGTGTTCATGGACAGGCAATAGAAGCAGGGCTACTTCATAAGTAACAACTTCCATCAACTTCAAAAATATCAAAATAGAGTTTCTCTAAAGAGCCTTTCTCTAATGGGACTGACAAGAATTAGAAGTTCCTAGTATTTGTCCATGAAGCCTAAGAAAGATGCTGTTTCAGACAGGGTTCTAATCGGACTCGGCATGCACAGTTGACTTTTCAACTACCCGTTACTCCTTCCCTTTTGTCAGCATCACTCACTCAGACAATCACACATATACATATTTAATATTAAAAACACACATAGGTTTAAAGCAGAAAACTCATTCTAAAATTACATTTTCTACAACAAAAGCAGGTCATCATGTTCACATCCAAAGTGCTTCCATCACAGAAATGGATCTTCCTCGAGTTGCTAAGTAACATACATACATGGCTGTGTTCAACACTGCGAAAAGACTTCCCTCCAGGAGGCTCTGTTCAACCATGTGCAAGAATTATAAGGCATTGTAAGCACTTGTTCCACAGGAAAGGGCTGTTCTTGCAGTGACAGGCTCTTATATAACTAACAAATCTTCAGTCTTTGGATGCCAGTGGACATACAGACACAGGGGACATTCCAAGTCTACAGGTGGCTGGTTCAAAATCAAAAACATGTTTCAAAGATATGTATGGAATAGCACCATAGGAAGTCTTTGAGAAACAAATCCTTTCTTTCAACATTGATTTTTTTTTAAACTGAATACCAGGAAAGGGGAATACAGAGAATGGAAAGAGATTTTTCAATTTTCAGGACTAGTTCTGCTTCACTTCATCTTGTTTAAATACACTATATAACAACACCAATAACAATAACTATAGCAAGAAGATGAACAACAAAGGACATTAGCAGCAGCAGTAACTGGAGTAGGATGCATCCAGGCAGTCTGTTAGAAGAATCCTGCGTACGCCTCTTGGGAGTTCACTTGTAAAGTCCATAAGACACCACAGGTTTCTAGGGTTTGGTGGGAAAAGGCAACACTTCCATAGAAAGAACTGAATTACTCAACCGTCATTTTCCAGCACTTCAACGAACGATACCTAGAGTTGCACTACAACGACAGGCACTACTGATGTTTCTAAACACATACAAATGAAGTGCTGTCAAGATCATGTGTTGTTCAAAGAGGTTAGGCCGGCCAGCAATTCAAAATGATAAAGCTGAAATATTCCAGTTTCCAAACAGCACAGCACACAGACCCACCCCACCACACCCACACACACAAACACACACACACACACACACACACACACACACGTATGCACCACCCTTAAACGACCCCCATTTCACATCATCTTAGACAGATCTGGTTTATATTGTATCTGAGATACAAAGTCAAAACAATTATTCTAAGACACGATAAGAGGGGTTTTCGACTGGCAAGATCGTTGTATGTTCCCCAAATCTTGAACGCTTGTCAGAGAGGGCATCTCAGGGTCACAGGCCTGGGAGAACTGTCTGCATTGCACGGCCTGCTTCAAGCTGGGAGTCAAACTTGTCTAGTCTTCCTTGGAGCCTGTGATGCCCTTCTGCCAACGTTGCCAACATTCTCAGGAACAGAGTTCATATTCCCTTGCCATGCTGATCCAATTGGATGGGAACTTCTCCTTTAGTAAAGAGATGCTCCTGGTCTTAAAGTTGTCTTTTGTTCAAATGTATTATATAAAACATTTGTGCTAATATCTTCAGTTTTTTTGTTTGTTTTTGTTTTTGTTTTTTACAAAAAAATATGTCTTCTCTCCATTATGTACATTCCTTTCAGTTCTGACAGAGGTTTTTAGGGGTGTTAATTTTTGGTATGAGAGGTTTCTGGATATCTTATGCTTTTGTATCTTATGTGAAATCCTTTCTTGTTGATAGTGTCATCGGTGTGAAAACGAATTAAAACTGTGTCCCCAATTGAGTAGATTTCTTCTGGTGGCTGAAGAAGAAAGAAAAAAAGGCAAATAAGCAAGCATTAGAATGACTTTAATTTTTTTCTTCAGTGTACTGCATGCTTGGAAACATTTTTGTTATAATTGAATCTTGTTAACATTGAAAAGTAGCTGTGACTGACGCCCTTACAGCTAGGCGACTCAAGGCTGAGAAAGCATGATGTGCTGGTGGCATGTGCACAGCAACCAGGTACTCTGTGTCACATTGCCGGCTCCCCAAAGTTGTTCAGAGTGGCATGCATATTCTTTTGTGTTATGCTTTAATTTAGAAATCTGAGAAATCTGACAAAGGTATATGTATCTGTTATTCTAAACTATTTTTTTTGGTTCCTAAGTACTGAAATAAATACTACACAATAAAAAGATCCTAAAAAGCGGTAAGAAAGTCCCATTGATGAATTCATGTTATCTGATACAGCCAGGCAAACACATTAGAAGCAGATATGTGATAATGGTGAAAACCAATGCTACATTTTGTCCAGGAGTCTTGAAAAAGCTGGCAGAAAATGTATACTGTGAAGAACAATTGCAGAATTTTTTTTAAAACTATCAATAATTTTAAAAATTTCATTCTTTCACAAACTTTTTAAGGGGCATTCCTAATACAGAACTATTTTTCAGGCACATTGCCATTGAGTCACTGTTAAATCCTGGAGTCTCTTTCATCTTGATGATGGTATCTCAGTACTAGCATACTTACCCCAGATCCACAGAACCGACCTAGTCCCACCGCTGTTGAGTCGAGGCCATCAAAGACTTCCACATAGTCATAACCACAGTCGGCTTCCTCCTCCAGTTCAAAAGTCTGGAAGGACAGTTCCAGCCGAGAGCCCCGTTCTGCCACCAACAGCCATTCACAGCCCACCTGCCCGGGGTAGTTATTGTCACCGAACTGAGCATGCGAGTATAGATCCCTGGGCTTGAACTCAGCTTTCAACCGGCCACCACACTCTGCCAGGAAAGAGAAAGGAAACGATTCTCTCACTGGCCTTGCCTCAGTCCCATGTCAATGTCAACCAAGTGCGAGCATGCTATGACTTTCCCTCCACTTCCCACATGAGACACACACTGCCCACAGCCGCGAGACGGGCACCAGCTCGGTGTATGCTGTCCTCCCCAGAGTCTCAGCTCTAACACTTTCCAACCCTGTAACTTTAGGTCCAAGGGTCATGCCTCTCTTTATGGTATTAGTGTGGGTGAAAATAAATGCTACCAACATCAGTGGGTTTTGATATTTAACGCAGGGTAGCCACTTAGAAAGCCTCCATCCCTAATAGCGCTCAATACATATGTTTGCTGTTTTCAGTCTCATATTTCATAAGCACTGTTTTTAATCTCATAGCTGTGAGAGCTGTTCAAAATGTTCATGAGAAAAGCCGGAGATAAGTTTACCTCGGTGCAGATAACTTTGCAAATGTATGTGACAGCTTGTTATAACACATTTTCAAGAAAGTATGGATTTCATTGCTTTTCCACAAAATCAACCTGTTTCTAAATCCCACATCCTATGAGTTGTTGAAGTACTCTCATATTTTCATGGGGAAAGTGTCACGGGGACTCAACTTTAAACAGTTATAAGTAGGACACAGAATCCACATGAAAAGAAATAACATCTAACAAAATGTAAACCTCAGGGGTTTTGTGTGTGTGTGTGTGTGTGTGTGTGTGTGTGTGTGTGTTACTACCTAGAACAGTACAATTTTACTGAGGTAGATACTATCCCTTATTAATTATGGCATTTTGTAACATCAGCCCCCTTCCAGTATCTTCCTGTCTGCTAGTGTTGTTCACAGCTTCTTGTTCAGATAAACATCATGAACACCTGCTCTGCCGCTTGCCATGTTTGTTACTTAAGGCTGACAGACCCAACAAATCCCCAACTGTGTGTGAAAACATGTGACACCCAGCAGCACTCGGGATGAGTTGCCTCAGTCTTTTCAAGAATTCTTTGTAGCTTGAGCTAGAGACTAGATCAAGGCAGAGGCATCCCCAGGGCCCCACCAAGTGATTCATACACAAACATGAGCAAAGTGGGATAAAAAGCTGTCAGGATGCGAAAGGGTGTCCTTTCCCTGATTGTCACGGACCGAGAGGGTCCAGCTTGAATCCCCATGGTGCCTGTTAACGGCTGACGGATCAATGGTGGAGGCTGATCTAACCATGACGTCTGAGAGGTGGGGCTGGTGTGAGGTCTCCAGGACCCTATCCCTTGGCTTCCTGGCTCAAACGTGCTCACTTCTGCACATCTGTTCTACCACTGCCTGCAACATGTAAAAAGATGGAAAGACCTTCCTTCCCACAAGCTTCCTCTCAGGTATTTTAATTAAAGTAACAGAGACACAACTAGTGGCCAAAAAGGCAGCCACAGCTAGTCACATCCCAGGTCCAGGTGACACGTCATCGGGTTCTACACGGAGATTGCTCAGAAGTTGCTTGACCCATGGAAAAAATCACCTGATTAAGCAGCCCCCCCTCTTTTCTCATTTTTTCTTTTTTTTTGTTACTCTGAGAAATGCCATTATCTGTATTCTGTGATCCACTCAGGTGTGAAATGAAAAGCCAAAAAAAAAAAAAAAAAAAAAAAAAGAACCAAAAAAACAAAACCAGTAACTAACAGTCTTAATCAGCAACCATTTTTTAAAGCCAGGAATATTGTCATTGTATGAGAATTATTCCTGAAGTCAACCTAGGTACACAGACACCAGTGTATCACTTACAGACTTTCAGTTCCTCTCAAAGGCTGACAGTAAGGATAGACTTAGGAGACGGCATTACAGCAGAGCAAGTAAATCCACTTGTGACTATGGGCACCATTACTATTCCTTGTCTCCTGTGGCTCTGCTTCAGATCCACCTCCCTGCTAACGGCTTCTGAAAAAAGAGGAAGATGGCTAAGGCCCCCTTAGCCTGGGGAGAAATGCGTTTGAGCAGAACCTTGCTTTGTGGGCCTGTCCCACAGCAAAAAGGCAACCAAAGCAAAAACCAGAATTCACAAGAGAGGCCCAGCTTGGAATACATCAAGGAAGAAGTGAAACAGGAAAAGGGATTTCAAAGAGTCTTTACATATCTGAAAGTTGCAGAGAGATGTTCTGATTTCATTTTACTGGAAGCTGTGTGAGAAATGCCCGGCATTTAGAAACAAAACGTGTGTTGAAAGATGACTCACAAGTGTGTCCCCAGGTGTGGCCATCGCAGTGCACACCCCAAGTTCTAGGCAGCCCTCCATGATTCACACTCTCATGAATGTGCTCGGAAGAAAAAAAAATACAGAGTTTTATCCCTAGGATGACCTTTGCTCAAGGATGAACACTGAAATATTAAATGCACAAGAGGTCTGGTGACCTGGAGCAAGATTGCGCAAGCAAAAGGAATAGGGTGAGGGTGACGTGCTTCTCTCTGACTGGGAGGACCCCACGGCAAGTAAACTATGGTTACACCCCTTAACAGCTCTTCGCAAGCTGACTTCTAAGCAGACTCAGCAAACACCCCTAACTATTTCTGATATCAGAAAAAACAGACTTTCAGCTAGAGTGCTTTCCATCAGTTGTTTCAAACATTGCAAGCGGCTGGCTTTTTCTCTGTTTCTGGGAAATGGAAAATGAAGGTGAACAAGAAATACCAGGCCCAGGGAAGGGAAGCCGGGCTGGTGACAGGGTCGCCTGTGTTGGTTTGTGTTCAACTGGGGAAGATGGTCAAGGACTGACATCAAGAAAGATCTTAAAATTGCTCCCACAAATGCCTTCAGTGGCCATTCTCATCACATGTGTTTAGATAAAAAAAAGGAAGACCATGTAATGTGTCAACAGTTAAGAAATTACTAACACTGTATATATTCTACCAAAGGATACACCAATCAGTATTTGATGAAATGCTGTGTAATAAAGGAACTTGGTACAAAGATTCATTAAGGGCAGAATCAACAGAAGGCAATACATAAGACCAGAAAATACAGGATAAACTAAACCTGCTCAGTGGGTAGGTTTGTGGATTAGCATGTTAAGCATCTACTCGGGATGCAGGCATTTCCTACCGGGGTGCTGGTTTGAGCCCCAGATCCTCCCACAACTTCCTGCTGACATGTCTGAGATACAGTAGGTGATGGGCCAAATACCTGGACCCCACCACCCCCAGGGCTTCCTGACTTCAGTCTGGTCCACAAGCCCTGAGCCATTCTGGACATCTGGGAAGTGAACTAGAGACTGGAAGATCTCTCTCCCCCACCCCACCCCCGGTGTGTGGCATCTCCCTCTATCACTTTGCCTCTCAATTAAATAGATACATTTTAAAATAATAATAAAAACAAAATAAATCCACAGAGAATTGTAAGAGCTGGTTAAGTGAGAACAAAATTTGTACACAAAGACAAATTAAACACATAATGCCGAACATTTTGGTGAGAGTAAATGAGTAGAATTAGAGAAGTCTAGATTCTGATTCAAGCCGTTCCCCACTTTCTGTGCTAGGTTAGTTACCTCTTAACAGTCTTAACACTGGCGTCCTCACTTCTGAGACAACAAGGCTGGATTAGGCAATATCCAGAAACATTTTGTCTAAGAGAGAGTGTTTGGAGTTGCTCATGTGCATGGATGTGAACAGAAGAACAGGGTCATAAAATGAGCCTCGTTGTTTATAAATGTGAACACAGGCTTTGCTTAAAGCTTACATAACGAAGCACTCTGTCCTTGTCTGTATCGTCATGAATTTTTGGAGCCCTTCCCTAATGTATGCGTGTGTGTTTTCATGCAGTTATACACGTAAGCACATTTTACATCTTTGAATATTCAGATATAATCTCCACTATGATAATTCTACCAATGGAATATTAATCATAACACAATGCACAAGTAGGGTGCATGGGCAGAAATGATGGAGATTATTACAACGCCAAAGACTGTGAGATACCTGAAAAATGGTGAGGCAATAGGATTCCATATTTTCACCCTTTTGATTTGCAACTGCTTATTAGTAACATTTCTAATAAATAAGTTCCAAATATAGGGAACATCTTCCATTGATATAAAATTTCTACGGTAGATGAAAGATTTTTCTCAAGCCATGGTGCTTGCATTACTTAACGAGAAACCATTGCTGTATTACTGACAGGAGTTCTATCATGACCTAGACAAGTCATAAGAATATTCCATCGTCTTCCTCGTAGACTGCAATACCGATACTTGTAATCTGCTACATAATCGGGTGAAGGAATAATTAAAAATCAATTTTTCTAAAATAAAGTAATACAAAAAGAAAATAAGCGGCATTAACCCATGATAAAATAATTTCATGGACGAGTGCTGTTTCACAACTACTCCTATGCATCAAAGCCATTATGCATCCATCCTGTCACTAGATGGCACTCTAAGATCAAGGACAACGGCAAACAGTTAAAAGTCACTTAAAAATCACAAAAAAGGGATCTTCTTTCGACTTCTAGTGAAGTTGATGAGTTCAGAGATGGTTTGTGATTGCACTAATTCCCAGCAGAGGGCACTGTGGGGCTTCCCGCAACGTTCTTCAATGCCAGGATAATTAGCTAGGAATCTCTCTGGTCCCTCACGTTTTGTGCAGTTTCTGTGACATCCCATCTCCCATTCTTGGGGCTTCTTTGACCATCGTGTAACTAGCCTCAACACACACATTCACCAGAAGGAAAACCTGTGCCGTAGTGCAAAAGAGAAGCATGAGCCGTATTTGCTGACCTGTCGAATGTGTGGCTTGAAAGCCTTTTCTCTGAACAGATGCATCCGAAATAAACCGGACAAACATTTTATTTCCAGTAGCCACAAGGGGATCGGGTATCTTGTTGCCACACAGCCGTCCCATAATTGGTGATTTTTCTGTTTCTCCATCAAATACTTCTAAGTGATCATAAGCACACTCTTGATGCTGCTCAATTTCAAAGTCACTAAAAGCCTAATGCAGAAAAAGAGAGAAGCACTTTACAAACTACACATCACTCCAAAGATGTTCAATAAAACACGCTCGGGGTGTGCAAAAAGGGTGGACTCCACATCGTGCAGTGTTGAGAGGGGCTGTGAAATCAACAGAAGGTTCAAGCTTTGGGAAACAGTGTCACCGCTCCATGGGAAATTCGACCATTGGACTATTGCTACTAATTCTATTACTGCAAACAAAGCTAATTTAATCTAGACATTACAGCAAAAAATAGTCTTTTCAATTTGATGCAGAGCAATCATAAGAAAAATCTCAAAGAATTGATTCATTCTGATTTTGATGACCATAAGCCATTGGCCACAAATGATTACTTTCGATTTCTTCAACTATAAAGAAACAGTCAAAAACAATATGTATACTTACACAAAATTTCAATGAAACAAATCTTTATATATAATGCCTACAACCAAAAGGATTTTTACTATATATTCCTTTATTTTGTTCTTGCAAACCATAACGTTATTGATATGACTTTGGGGTAAAATACTTTAAATTTACCATTCAAATACACAGTATGCGTATTTTCCGTCTTGGCATACTGGATATTTTGGTAAGCTTTGCTGTTAGTCATTGAAAAGTCATTGCAAGTTGCCTTTGTATTAAATTCTGAGTTCTCCCCTTGGCAAATTTAAGATAAAAACGATGATATGTGTAACATATCAAAGGATATAAAGAACAATGCACTTGACATGGACTGAAATTTCCAACTGCTCCTATTCCAGGTTATTTGGGACTGCCCTTTATGACCCTGTTTTCCCCAGAAAACACTATACACTGAAAAACTAAAGCACCACTTCTCTTTACATCTATCGGGAAAAACCAAAACATTACAAAGCAAGTAGGCATGAAAAAAATATATGTTTATTTCAAACTCTTAATTTTTCTCTCTTCAGCATGAAATATCTACATATTAATTCTGGCATGTGTGTAAGTAAAGTGATCCGAATTCTCAACTTAATTGAAGACATGCACCAAAGACAACTACGAGTTATTTTCTCTGTTGGCTTTGTTACCTTTTTGATACCCTACAATGTATACCCTTTTTTGATACGTACTATCACTTGTTTTGGAGGCATAGAGAAAGAAATGAAAGAAACAATTTATATTAAGAAGGGAGTAAGAGAAAGAAATGAAGTTGTTAGGAAGAAAAAAGGGCTGGTATTTCTCAATTCATTGCACGCATCCTTAGCCATCAATAACTTTGGAGTCATCGTTTCTCATAATTAATACGAGTAAAAGGAAACGCTTGTTTCCTGCAACCAAGGACAATGAAATCGGAGAAAATGAGAAGCAGGTGTTTGGCGGGGAGGTTAAGACACCTGTGTGTCCCGCATGTCTCCTGTGGAGGTATCCGGATTTAGTACCGAGTTCAACTCCTGATTGCAGCTTCCTGCCGATCTGTAACCCAGGCGGCAGCAGGGATGGCTCCAACTGTTGGACCAGAGCCAGCCACATGGGAAACCAGTATTCAGTTGCTGCTCACTCCAGCTAGCCCCTGCCACAGCTGGCACCTGGGGAGTGACACACAAATGGGAGCCTGATCTCTACCCCATCGGACTCATCCTTCCTTCCCTATCAAGTTAAAAGAGTGAGCGTGAAAGAATGAGGAAGACTGTACAAAGAATCTAGTTGTAAACAAAAATGCAGCAAGGGAAGCATCGCGATGAAGCTACTTGAGCTTGCCCTGAAGGAGACTCTAGCGGCGTCTGCAACCCAGGACAGAGCAGAGCGGACCCGTCTCCTGACACGTGCGACACCCTGAACCGATCCCTGGGTAAGCCTACTTAGTCATTTCTCTGGCTTCCATCTCATTATGACCAGCTTCTTACAGGAAGCCAGACAAAACTGGTTCTGCTTCTGCTTCTCCTGAAGTTAACCAGCCATCAATATTGTACATGGAAGTACAAGCAACTTAGCACAAAGCACGAGGAAATAAAAACATTGTCTCAGAAAAATAATAGTACCTGAAAGTCATTGCATGTTAACGAATTGTCTATTTGATTGGGATTTAAACATAAACAGCAGGTAAGCCCACAGTGCAGAACAGGAGCTTGTGACAAAACGGGGTAGGGTGGTTACTGGAATTCAACAGGATATCCCAAGACCAGTTGCAAAAAACGGGATCACAACTTACAAGCCACAGATTCTCCAGTACTTTGGAAACTTAGTGAATCATATTACTAAGTGACTGTTTCACATTCCTTAGTGAGATGCAGGCTGTCTTGAGTAAATCATGACGTCAGTTTAGCAGAACAGAGGAGAGGGGCTGAGCTGGTAGGCTGGGTGATGCTGATCCTGCTCTGCAGCCAACCACCCCCAGTTTCCGGTCAAATTTACGAAACAGGATCAGACTGAATCCATAAGGACCAAACTAGTCAAAGGTGTCTTAGCTGACCTATATTCAAGCAAGGCAAATGCGGGTTGTGCATTAAGATAGAAGTGATTTTTATTTTCCAGTTGGAACAGGTAGTAGTTTGTTATGTTAATGAAAAAGCTTGTGTGATCCTGACCTCACAGTCTCATCACAGCCGTTGAAAGGTACAACTAGTTCACATGTTGAACTTGGTCCTAAGTCCTGGGCCAAGGAGAAATCCACTGAGCAAGAACGCCACGTATGTTCCCTTCACATGAATAAACAGAATGCGCTTATGTCACAGACAGCTTTACAGGAGCCTCGGGAAAACTGGAGCGAAAACTTTCTTTTGTACAATTTACAGTAAGTGTAAAATACAACTTGTTATCTTAGTCCATGACACAAGTCATGTCATGACTCTATCTCAGTGACATAGAATGTGACAATTTTCAACCCTCAGGAACAAAGACCATAGATAATGTTACCACAAAGGTCCTTCAACTTCACTCTGGTGATTGCATAGTAAGAAAAGCTTCAGGGGAGGAAGGTACACTGGTTGCCACTAAAACATGGCACTCTTTTTGAAACTTAAGTACTTTCTTTGGGTGAGATCAATTTAGTTATTGGTTTATTTATTTGAAAGGCATAAAGAGAGAAACTTTTGTCTGCTTGTTCACTTTCCAAATGGCTACAAGTACTAGGGACGCTGGGCCAGGGGAGGCCAAGAGCTCTGGAGGCCATTCAGGTCTCACCCATGAGTGACAATGCTCCAACACCTTGGTTCATTTGCTGCAGCTTCCCCAGGTGTGTTATCTGAGCTGGGACTTGAAGCAGAGCTGGGCCAGGGGAGGGAGGCTGTTGGAGTCACAGGTGGTGGTTCAATCTGACACACTTACACTGCTGGCCACTCACGCATTTCAGAGAAGTTTGTAACCATGCCAGTATTTCTAGCATTATTAATCTAGGTTTTAAAAAGGTCAAAAAAGAGTGAATACCTTGTTCTTTAATCAGAACTCCTAATGTACTTCTCATAAGAAAACTAAGAGATTAAGGACTTCAACTCAAAATCAATAACACTGAAGTGTAATTACAGACTGGAAGTCATAACTGGGTGTTTCCAGAACACCCAGACAAGTCTAATCTACCTGGCTGGCCACCAGCCAGACTTCCATATGCTGCCTTTCCTCTAAGTACCTGCAGAGGTTCGTCCAGTGAAAATGCAGGCTTTGGCTAAAACATGGAGTCCTACAGAGATGCTACACATAATCACAAGAACAGGCTAATAAAATGATTGCTCTCAACATGGAGATAAAATCTAGCTTTGGTGAACACATGGACCAAGAGAAGTGAAAAGTCTGATATAACCTGAGCAGCTGCAGAGTGAATGCAGAATGGCACAAGCCTGGCTGCCTGTCACCTCTCCCCAGCTGGTCGTAGGGACAGCCATTCTTTCCTCGTAAGGAACTGGCAGGGGATTACAGAGTAAAGCAGAATACCAACTCATCTTCTTACTCAACAAAGAGGCTTTGCTTTCCCTGGTCCTGTGTAAGTGTGAACACACACAATGTTGATGGGTGTGGAAGCAAATGACAATAGCTGAGACCCTTTCTAAATCTTAGACACCTGTGAATTGTACCTCTACGTATCTTGGCAAGACCTGGAATCTAGGACAAATCCTACAGAAAAGACACCAGCGCGTGAGTCCACTGAGTGTTTTCCTAAGTCAAGCACTTTGTTTATTTTCTTTTTAAATATTCATTCATTTGAATGACAGATTGTCAGGACAGAGGAGAGAGAGAAAGAGAGAGAGAGAGTATCTTTCACCCACTGGCTCACTCCTTAAATGGCCTCTATAGCTAGGACTGGACTGGTCCAAAGTCAAGAGCCCAAGATGCCTCTTGGGGTGGTGGGGACCCCAAACACTGGAGCCACTGTAGCAGGTATCTTGGAAACAGGCCGGCTGGTTCTGGAAATGACACTCAGGTCAGAGATGCAGACATCGCAAGTGGAAGATTGGCGTGCTGCACCACAACGCTGACCCATCTTGAGCATTTTCAAAGTAGACCAATCACAGAGGCTCTCGAGAGAAGGTGACGTCGGCGACAGCAGAACCTCGTCCTTATTTCTGTCCAACGCTGTGCGTTCTCTAGCAAGGAGTCTTTTTTCCTAGTCATGTTTTGATTCAGCTGGTGTGTGTGTGTGTGTGTGTGTTCTTAAAGCAATCATCATGCAGCCTGTGCATGCAACCACTAAAGTGCTGTAACATAAGCTTTATATGCAAGTCTGTTCAATATGTATCAAAATCCACAAGTAAGCATGATTTCTAGCTCTCAGATTTAAAAAATTCAAAGCCTTAAAAGGTAAACTGTCTTTCTGAAAATAACAAGACCAGTAAGTAGGCTCTTTAAGAGTAGAAACTCAAATGATCTTTGAGTTCAGCATATGCTTTCCACCGTTACATGGGAGACACAGATGGAGTTCCAGGCTACTGGCTTCAGCCTGGTTTAGCCCCAGAACATCGTGGTTCCTTACGGATTAGTCCAGCAGATTAATCGGGCCCAACACAGTAGCCTAGCGGCTAAAATCCTTGCCTTGCACGTACCAGGATCCCATATTGGTGCTGGTTCTAATCCCGACAGCCCCACTTCCCATCCAACTCCCTGTCTGTGGCCTGGGAAAGCAGTCGAAAACCTTGGAACCCTGTACCCACGTGGGAGACTCGGAAGAGGCTTCTGGCTCCTGGTTGTGGCTCGGCTCAGCTCTGGCCATTGCAGCCACTTGGGGAGTGAACCATAGGACAGGAGATCTTCCTCTTTGTCTCTCCACCTCTCTGTATATCTGACTTTCCAATAAAAATAAATAAATCTTTTAAACAAATTTACCATTAATATGAAAACAACTCTTGGAATCATAAAATGCATCACCACAGATTTGTTAGAAATATTTGGACACTTACTTTCTCCCAACTTATTTTCTCAGCATTTGGCACAGTATCTACGATACATCTTGGGAGCTTGGTGCTGGCGTTCCTGGGTTGAGCCTTGTGGGAAGGCAGGTCACGGCTCACCTAGCAGGGCCCGGTTCACCTCGCAGGGCCCTGGCCTGCCGTGTGGTGAACATGAACTAGGTTTTGGGCTCCTCACCTTGGCTTCGCTTTCCCCAGTTTTTGAGGGACATTTGGGGGAACAAACCAGTGGCTGACGAATCTCAATCAGTCTGCCGGTCAGTTTGTTTTTCTGTCAGTCTCTGTTTTGCTGACTTTCAAATTAATTTATTATAATTTAGAAAACAATTCATAGAAACGATAATAAAAATGGTATAATGTGGATGAACTTCAAAATGTTTTGCCAACCAAATGGGCGGACAATTGGGGCAGTTGTTTTAGGTTCCAGGTAGCATGCCTACCCTGGGTTAAGGCCCAGGTTCCACTTCCAATCCAACTGAGGGATGTTTGGCAGATGTGGAATGACTTCTAGGGGCTTCCAGACCCTACGCTCACACTGAGTGAGGGATCTGAGATGGGCTAGTTCGCACAGGGGAATCTGGAGGGTGTGTCTGTGTCAGGCCAAGGACCTGGCCATGTGGGGACTCTAGACCTGAGCAGGTAGCATTGGCCTCCAAAATTAGAAACCATGTGTATTTTTTTTTAAATTAGTCTCATAAAATTGTCTTAAATGATATTTTCCCCATTACTTCTAGTTGGATAGATTAAATTTTCAGAAATGATTGTTTATCCGGATACCAAAGCAAGACAAGGACAATACAAAACAATAGAACTACAGGATAATATCACTCATGAATATGGAGGCAAAAACCCTCCACAGAATACGCGCAAACTGAACTCAACAGTACATTATAAATATTGTTCACCTTGAACAAGTGAGATTTGTTCCAGTAATAATGATGGTTCAACATTTGCATATCATCAAATATGATACCACCTTAACAGAATGAAGGACTGAAACAATATAATCATCTCAATAAATGTATAGAAAGCATTTGCCAAAAGTCAGCAAGTTTCAACCACTGTGGGGAAACAAGCAGCAGAAAGAACTTAGCACATGAGCCAACGAGTCCGAACTGAGAGCCTGGAAGTAAATCAATGTATTTATAGTCAACTGATTTTTAATGAAGATGCCAAAAGCCTGCAATGGAACAAAGGATAGTCTCAAATGATATTGAGAAAACTAGCTATCCACATGCCAATGCAACAGGCTCCTTATCCTAATCCATAAACAAAAATTAAGTTTAAAATGTACTAACAATAATCTAAGGGCTGAAAAATGTGGAAAATTCTTTTGTGATATTAGTTTGGGCAACAACTGAGCTAACTCCAAAGGTACAAGCTGCAAAAAGCAATATGGACAAACCTAATTACATCAGGTGAAGGTTTCTGCATAGTAAAAAAAAAAATGAAGACGCAAAGTACAGAAATATAGAAATAACATGTATAAAATATGCATCAGATGAGGAGGTAATTTTCAAAATATGTAAGTGGTTCAAATAGCTTAACATCATGAAGACAGATAACACAACTGAGTAAATATGGACCAAAGAGGATGCCATTTGTGTCAGCACATATGACCCCAGCTAGGATGAGCACCGGAGTGCCTGGGTTGGAGTCTAGGTCCCACCTTTCTGCTAAGGAAAAGCCTGCAAGGCAGCGTCAGGCTGCCTTCCTGACATCAGTGTGGGGAACGCTGGATCGCCTGCGAGAGGCCCAACATATGGGAACTCACTCCCTTTACCTCTCCAATAACCAACTCAGCTGTGAGAAATTGACGATGCTGACGTAGACATTTCTCAGGAGAAGACATGCAGATGGCAAAGAGATAGATGAAGAAGAATGCTACATTACACTAATCAGGGACGTGTAATATGAAACCACCAGATGTCACCTTGTATCTATTAGAGGGAGGAAAACCAATGTGGGCTAAGAATGTACAGAAAATTAAATCCGTACAGACTGTTGGTGGGAATGCAAATTAGTCATCATGGAAAACAGTATGACGGCTCCTCAAAATATTAAAAATAGCACTTTCACATGGTCCAGCAATCTCACTCTTGGGCATTTATCCACAGAAAATGAAACAGTACACCCATGTTTATTGAACCTCTGTTCACAACAGCCACGATATGGAATCAAAGGCAGTGTCCACAAAAGGATAAACAGTTAAAGAAAACCCAGTAAGCCTGCTTCAGCAGAGAAAATCTAGTCACTACAAAGAAGTAAGTGTTGTTATCTGCAGCATACAAATTAATTCACAGGACATTATGTTAATTGAAATCAACCCAGCACGCAATAATGAACACTGTACTATCTCAAGTAAGCATTTTATGAGGTTGGAGAGGATTCACATGGGCATACATCTATAAAATCCCATTTTTTTTGAATCTCTGAATTTTTGCTTATCTGCTTATTTTTCCATTTGGAAACACCATTATAGACTGGAAAGCAGAGCATAAGGCTCCACGGCAGCTACTGTGGTAATGCTAGTTCAATTACACAGGATGGGAACCCAGGAGGTGAGCCACGGTGGCCACCTTGATCTAGGAAGCCAAGCTTCTGTTTTGTGTAAGCCAGAAAGCAGGAGAAGGAAAATGTTTTCCATCTTCCAATGAATTCAATTCTATTCAGTAAACATTCGCTCTATCCCCACGTGCTGGCCACAAATGACATGGGCAGTCAGCTTTACAGCAAAGACGTGCTCACTTACTAATTTGATGCGGTGACCTGGAGTGGCGTTGATCTCCCACGTGCATTCCTTCCTGCTCGGGTACTTGTCTGGCCAGTTGGGACTGGTGATGAGGCCGTGTGGACTGTGTATCTTCTGTTCGCACTCGGCTGTGCCAAGGATAATGACATCAGTCAGTGTGCAGCCCTAGAAAGCAAGCAGTCTATTGCCCTCCACTCTGTTGAGAGGATCTTCCTGGACACCAGTGAGTCATCACTCCACTCTTGCTGCCACCTACACCTGCTTTGACAAATACCTTGTCTGGCATAACTGGGCAAGGTTTGTTGCCTGAGCAACAGGAAACTCAGTGCTTTGGTATGAGTCAGATAAATGCATGAAAGAAAATCATTTCCTGTTTCCAACTGTTAGGTCTGTAGGCTCAGACATTAACTGGACACCACATATTGGCAATCAAGAATATCAACAATATCAACACTTAGTAAGGAGTGCAGGGTCACATACAAACATCAATGGACTATGCTATTTTGAGTGAAACTAAATGAGGGAAGGGTCAATTCAGGATCTCTAGCAGTCCAGTGTGTATTCAAACCATTGATATTTCATCATGGCTGCTTTCAACTATCAATCCATCTACATATACGTATGACTTTTGTTGCGAAATCCTCCTTAACAGTTCTGTTTTCAAATTAGGCATAAAATAAAGTTGAAAATGCTGGAGGACCTTCAAAGGGAGACACCCAAACAGAATAATGATTTCTTGTTCCCATCTAGGTCATAGAGGGTGAGAGGACTGAAATGATAGCTTAAAACAGATGTTCAGGCTCCCTTGCAATCACCTACCTCCAGTGAGGTAGGCCGACATTCAGAATGCTACTAACAGCACCTGCTGGCTTAGATGTGAGGAGAGAGGTACCTTTCTTCTCTGCTGCTGGGAGTACAAGCTAGTTCATCCACTATAGAAACTAGCATGCAGAGTGCTTACAGAACTCCAAATAAACCTGCCATATGACCCAGCTTTCCCACTGCTAGGAATATATCCAAAAGAAAATGAAATCTGCATGTAAAAAGGGGATCTGAAATCCTATTTTTACAGCAGCACAATTTGCAATAGCAAAGACATGGAAGTAACCCAGACGCCCATCCAAAGAGGAGAGGTTAAAGAAACTGTGGTACATCTACACAATGGAATAATACCCAGCATTAAAAAGAATGAAATTCTACCATGCAAGCTGTAAGATCAATAACCTTTTCAATACTGTTTTTGCTGCAGCCCATGGGTTTTGATATTTGTTGTTACTTTCATTTCCTCAAAATAATTTGTTTTCTCTTATTAAATTCTTCGTTGTCTCATAGATCACATAGTAGCACCATTTCCTCCAATAAGGATTTTTGTTTTCTGTTTTATTTCTTCATCAACAAATTGTTTATTCAGTAGCATGTTATTTATCTCCATGGTGTTGTAAATTTTTTCAACTTTTTTCCTGTTGTTGATGTGGCTTCATGGTTTCTCATTTAAGGGAATATGTAGTAACTGCATAATAGAGACTATCATATCCAGGTGTGAAGATACAGTGCAGTACGTATCTCTACTTCCAAATCAAAGCTGGACTCCCAATGAATGGATAGATCTATACAATGGAATACTGGACTGTCTTATATTGTCTGTACCAGCAATGTCAGGACACACTTAAACAGCAGCATGATAGACTTATGACTGTTTATGAATGACTATACTACTGTAATAATATGGGCAAAACCAGTTGGGGGGAAGAAATTTGTGGAGAGGGTAAGGGAAATACCAGAGCCTACAAAACTGTACCATAAAATTAAAAATAAAATAGAAGGGAAAAAAAGAGAGAAAAAACAAAAGCTTGAAATTGTCTAAGGCCTCAACAACAATATCTGGTGGACTATAATGGCACTGTAAGTACGCTTTCTTTGGCCAGGACTGTGACATAACACTTTAAATGACACTGCAGCTGCCATTTTCAAATGTTTTTCCTTTGGCCGGCATTTGTGTTTGACACTCCTGGTATTTAAAAGGACATCACTTAACATAGCACATACACGAGATATTTTTATAAGGGATATTACACCAAATGCAAAACATTTAGCACCAGTTAAGTTTAAACGTGGATTGTGTAGCAAGGCATTTTCTACAAAGACTTGGGAATAATGTGACTTTCTGGCTACCAGAAGACATCACAGAATACCCTTTGTCATACAAGATTGTTCTAACGTCATCCATGTGTGAAGTGCAAAATTTTTTAGGTAATATCGTTATAATGAGGTTTTTGACAGTATGCCTTAGGTCTTTGAACATTACACACAATCTTTGTTTAGCCTTTCAATATTCAACAATGATGTTACTCATTTAAATGGTCAACTCTACTTGTAAACAGTGCTGTGGTAAAATCCCATGAAATGTGACACTTTGTCAAGCAAAGAGCATGTCTGTGCATACCTTCCTTGCAGTCATGTTTATTTTCATGCAGCACAAATCCGTTGCGGCATTGGCACACGTAGCTTCCCATCGTGTTGACGCACTCATGCTGACAGCCACCATTATCCTTAGAGCATTCGTCCTTGTCTGGTAAACAGATAAACCCACAGCTTAGTAAAGAGCTTTACAAACACAGCGTATCAAGACAGGGATTTAGTCTTAGCTAACTTTAAGCTGGCAAAGGGTAAACTAAGTCACAGCTTTGCCTTTTTCTGATCTAGGACTTTTTCCTTGTTCAGTGTGGAGCCTTGTCTCATAGATTGAGTTTCCACAACCATTTGTGCAAGGTAAACAATTTTTATCTTTCTACACTTCTGCAAAGGAACAGAAATCTTTAGTATGAGAAAGAATACCAACAGATCCTTACCCAATCAATCTTAAATATTTATTGCCTATTTTTTCAAGTAAATTTAAAATTGTGGATTGAAATCAAGGCAAAAGTGGCACTTGAGTGGAGAAAAGGACATTAGTATATTAAACATGGTGTACAGGCAGAGGCTAAATAAGGTTCCACGATGTGCATATAATCCTTTATTTTTTTATAAAAATATTACTCAGTAAAATTAGAATGACTGTAGTTATATTTTTTTTCATTAACTTCACACTAATGAATCTGACATTTTGTAAGATTCCATGGTGGAAAAAAAGCAACATTACACTATCCTAAAGAAGAAACTTAATTTGTATATTTTCAACAAATCTACTCTGGCAGACCAGTTCATTAACAAGTAATCCCTTAAAAGTTTGTTTCAGCAAACTAGAAAAAAAATAGAGGATAGAATGGGAAGTGTGAGCTTTAAGAAACATCCAACAAATTTGGGACAAGGAGAAAAGCCAAACTAGATTAACAGAGAGTGGATCCAGTGAGGTGTGTTAGCTATCATTCCATGGCTCACTTGGCCGTTAAAGGGGAAACTAGGAGATTGGTCCTGACACATATCCCTCAGACTTCCCTCACTGCCAAGCAGAGCACGAAAAGGGCACCTAACATTCGTATCAGCAGTCACAGTGAATGCAGATTTCTGCACCATCAGCTGATTTTTCCAGTGAAAACAAGATTGCTCAGTGTGGCAAGCAAAGTATAATATTTTTGCTTATTTTTGATCAAACTGCTATTTATATAGATAAGTTTGGAGAAGGTATCTTTATAAAGGGTCTATCAGTTTTACAATTGCATTTGTTTTTCTTTTTGGTGACTGCATAACAATGCATACACAGTTATAGAATTAACAGCTATGCATTGGGCATCTTGGACAATTTCAAATACATACAATTTCACAGTTTTTAAAAAATACATCAGAATCAATATAATTGGGGCCTAGTGTTCACCTGTTGTTGACACTTCCATCACTCTTAATACTATGAAGACTAAGAAAAAAATGTTTACAAAGTGGAGGAGAGGAAATAATTCCTGAAAAGAGCATCCAATACTAAAAGCAAAGTAAATCAGACATTGAGAGAATTGCTCGTCCACTGCATTTCAGAGTAACTGAGCATCATTTTGAAGCGCCACTGCTTGAATTGTATGAACAATGAGTTATGGTTCATGAACTATGGATGTCCCATACAGAAGGGCTTTTCGGTAAACCACACTTCCTACTGCCGTGGACTCAGTCCCAGCACTTTCTAATTCAGGCAATTTGGCTGTAAATTATTGAAAGTTTTATCTTCCTGTGGCTTTCCAGGAGCACTGTATTTAAAAAGCTTTAGCAAAATTCCTTCTCATAAGTGAATACAGTAAACAAACTTTGTCTTTGTTCAATGGGAAAACAGTGAAAAAATTCCAGGTGTCAAAATTACTCTGAAATAGGCATTTATTTCCTATAAAAATATGTATCTAAAAGTAGTCATTTATTTATTTAGAGTAAGCTTTGAGAATAAGCATTAATAGTATTGTAGACCAACCAGGCTCTTACAATCGGTTCAGAAACCTACAAACTATGCACAAAATAATTTAGAGAAAATCAGTCCACATTTGCCTTTGGCCAGTAAATGGATGAGCTGCTCAGCAACAAACCAGAGGAGGCAAGACTGCCCAAAGCATGCTTCTATGAGCATCTATGTGCATCGCCATGCACGAGAGACTCAACAATGCTAAAATGTAAACAACACATACATTATCCAGTAACACGTGTGAATGTATGTCTCCCATCCCAATATTCTGGTGCAAATATCATTTACTAGAAGATTTATCTAGGCATAGTTATTTTCAAGATTTGGTACAACATAAAGTGAACTGTGACAATGCCATCTAGAGGGAAATAAAACAAACTAAATCAAATTGCATCTTTTTAGTCAACTATTCAAAGTTCTGCTATGCTGGGAGAATGATGTTTAAAAGAATCTTCTGGAAGAACAAGAAGGAAAGGGCAGAGAAAAAGGAAATAAAGAAAAGGAATAATAAGAAATTAGTATCATTTTACACTATAATTATCCATGCATTTGCTATGTTTCACTTCCACAGTTTATCAATGTTTTCCTGCTTCTCTCCCCACATACTTGCAATACGTAATTTAATGAAGATGACATAAAAGCTAAGATTCATCAATTAGGACACTAGAACATTTTAATCATCACTCCAAATTGTAACTAAATGGTGTAAGTACAGTTAGAAGCAGGAAAGGAAAATCATCATGTCCAGAAAACTATCATGTAAAACTGCCTCCATGTGTCTGTCATATGAAAAGAGAACATTTCAGGAAATCAATGAATTACTTAAAATTATCCAGATGTTTTACATCATACAAGGCCGAGAAAGCTGCATTTTTAACCTACTAGTTTAGTATGCCTCCCAGTTATGAATAGTTTAAGATGTCTCATAGTTGCAAATACAAAGTTGTTATTTCAAAGCTACTTTTCAAACATAGGTTAATAAACTATTCTAATTAAAGGGAATGCAATTTTGGATCATCTATCTTGATAAAAAATAATAACATCATAAGAAGAAATTTCAAAAAACCTTTTCTAGATTTCTTATTTGTGGAAATTCATGAACTCAGAAAGGAAAAGTATTACTAACATGACTGAGCTATGGTTCCATTTTCTTTCCTCCCCTTAAAACATAAATTCTGTAGACTCTACTGAATACTGCACACCCAAGGAAAGAGAGCTCAGTTTTTAATGCTTCATGTAATGTCAGCAAGATACCGTTAATAATTGAGAACTGTCTCAATAATGCATTGGAAATTTTCTATCATTTTCATTGAGCAGACACAAATAAAGGACATTTTTATTAGTGATTGATGGAAACAAATATTTTGTTGAGGAGAAATTAAAACATTATTCATCAGCTCATGGAAACGGGTGCCTTTCTTGGGAAGGACATCTCTGTTCTCCATTCCTCCAGGTTAGATGAAGAAAAGGTGCATTGTGAGGAAGAAGGGGGCTGGCATGTTTTTCCCACCAGAGGTCTACAGCTGATCTCTGAGGCTATCAGAGGTCATGTGCCCATGAATAATACAGGCTGAACAGAACTGAAGTGGCAATCTGTATCAAGTTGTTGCAAGCTTCAAAAAAAAAAGTGTCTTTTCAGAAAGTATCCTTGTCTGTAAGGAAAAGAAACAAATGGTCCACACACCAGAAACAACCAGAAACATCCTGGACAGAATGCTCAAGCTGAGAACCAGGTCGATGCACACCCATGCCACACAGCCATACACAGCACAGCACACAAGGTCAGCACACAAGGTCAGCACACACCACACAGCCACACACAGCGCAGCACACAAGGTCAGCACACACCACACAGCCACACACAGCGCAGCACACAAGGTCAGCACACACCTAAGGAAGAAGTGATCAGCTCCACTGACACAATGTGGTCTCTCCAAAAACACAGGGAATACTGAAATCTCACTAAAACAAATCTTGAGGATTTAAAATTATGTGTGGATGTTACAACCCTGTTACTAGTTATAATTGGTAGCACTGATATCTACAAGTTTGGTTAGAGTAGTATCAGGTTGAATTTCATTCACAAATACCAACAACCGTACCATGAGAAACAGGATATAGAAGAACATTCATGAAAGAAACAACTCTAATTTTACAGAGAGAAATGCAGGTGGGGTGAGGAGCTAATGTAGGCATCATTGGAATTTACAGTTATGAAACTGCAGTGTTTAAGCTATTTTGCTGGCTTCTTATATTCATTGCAGACAGAAATAAATTGGGAGTCTGCAATCCTGCCAACAAGGAGTGTGTGGGTCCAAAAGTAATAGAGCATTCCCATAGAAGTGAGCGCTAAGGGAGCCTGCTATTAAATGAGCTTTGAGCTTCAAATTCCCCGTTGTCATCACAGCAGGAATCATGACAAAAGTCGCACCATTAATAAAGGCTGCTTAAAGAAGCTAGGACGTTGCTGAGTCCTAGTGCCTAACACCATTTGTTATATTAGTTCCAAAGAACAAACACAACCATTGCTTTTAAAAGCAAGTCAAGTTTACAAATGTGGCCGTTTTATCTTCAATCTTCCCTTTAAGAAAATGCACTTAAAAATTGCTTTGTTCTCGGAAAAATGCATTTCCATTTGTTCAACCTCTTAAAGTAAGTCAACTGCATCAAGAATGCCTCTGTAGTTGCATATAAAGATAAGTGATTCACCACTAAATAAAGTGAATCATTACTGTTCATCTGGTAACAAATTGCATTCAGTTCAAGATGATGACAGCAAAGAATGTTAGACTGTTTTCTTTTCCATAGAAAGCCTCTGTCACCATCTTCTGTATCAGCTAGGTCAATGAACAGACAACACCTTCTATGGAAAATTCAAATAACCTTATTGATTTTGTTTGCTTGATTTAAAATAATTTCACTGTTACTCTTAAATACCCTCTGGAATCAAAACCGGACAACACAATTGAATTTCTGTAGTGAAAGTTGAAAATCGGGTCCACTACAATGGCTTAATGGCTAAATCCTCACGTTGTAAATGCCAAGATCTCACATGGGCACCAGTTCGAATCCCAGTTCATTCCACTTCTCAGCCAACTCCATGCCTGTGGCCTGGGAACAAATGGAGGATGGCCCAAAGCCTTGGAACCCTGCACCGACATGGGAGACCTGGAAGAAGTTCCTGGCTCCTGGCTACAGAACAGCTCAGCTCCAGATGTTGTGGCCATTTGGGAAATGAACCAGCAGATGGAGTATCTTTCTCTGCGACTCTTTCTCTCTATAAATCTGATCTACCTTTCCAATAAAAATACATCTTAAAAATCCAAGTTAACTATTTTCTGCTATTGAACATGATTTCTTTTACTTCTCCCTTTTTGTCCCTCTGCCAGTCAAATAAGTAAATAAAATCTTCTTTAAAAGCCCAGTAATTTCCAGATTGTTTTGCCACAAAATTTTTATGAATAATTTCTGATGTTTAATCAGAATTTACATGTGAGAGTTTATTAATTTTATGAACATGGCAGTGATACAAATCAGTGATTAACATTCTCCTAAATTGTTCTTAGAATAGGTTTCAACAGATACATTTCTAATTTAAAATTAAAACGCATTTATTTAAGAAACCAAACATTTTAGTAAGAGTAGCTAAAATCCCATATGTAGCTATCTCATTAGTTAATAATACACTGAAAGCAATATTAGCGATACACTAATTCACTGCAAACATAAAACTTAATCATATTTGTGTCTATGTGTTCCTACTGGAGCACGTAACTGCCAGAAAGCTAAAATTTATTTTTAAACAGGTTTCCTTTCCAAATAATAAAGAACCACTTATTATGAAATGTTTCTTTTTGACTATTGTTGAATTCTTTGGTAATCACGGTTGGAAAAAGAATGTGGAAAAAGTAGCTGAGCATGATCTACTTCTCATTAAGTTTTCATAAAGCCAAAATTCTAAATTCTTTAGAACATTGTTTATAAACATAACTATTTAAAACTGAGTCTCTGTAAAATAGCTTTTGTTTAATGGATACACTATGGGGACATTTATTCAATAATCTGTAATAAGAAAGTTAGAAATTAACCCAACTCAACACACACTTGTCCTAATATTAACTTGTATGAATATTTATTGACTAATGAATAAAATTTAAAGCTCCTTCATTCTATAAGAAGATCAAAGTTATTGGGTAATATTATCAATGTAGACAAACTTGGGTAACAGAAAAAAAGGGATTTTTTCCTAAGATTTTTCCCAAACACTTTGAACATTATGAGGAAATTTGCTTACTTCATAATTTCAACTTAAAAAAACAAATATTTAGAAGAGAAAGGTAAGTGCATAAGGCCATGCAGCTGTGTAAGACAGGTGGTTGGGGTCCCCTGGATGAGAGGACTTCAGAAAGTTCATGGAATATATTCATTATTGCTCAATTCCATTTTTAATGTAACCTGCATTTTTCATGGGTCTTTTGTATTTGACACTCAATAGAACTTGTGAACCATTAACTTCAATTACACGGAAAACCTCAAACAAACCCTGGACATTGCAAATCTCATTAATGTTTAAACACATGGGAACTGGAATAAATAGATTTTGAATGAACTCCACCTGAATTACTTGATATTAAAACATAATTGCAATTCAGCCACTTGAAATTGCTTGCCAGTTGAAAGAGCAGAATAGCTTGCTGTGCTGAGGTTTATGATGATTTTATCTATTTTGAAGTTTTAAAACAATGTTTTTCTATAACATGCAGCTGAGATCGAGGAAACAAACGGTTTTCACTGAAATCTTTATATAATCTTGGAATACTGGGGGAAGATTTTCATTAAATTTCAGTTCTTGGAGAAAGAGATCTTACTTTGAGTTGGTTAAACCAAACATTCAATTCCACACATGAAATTTCAATCCATTAAATATACCTGTTAGTATATCCTCAGTAAGATCATAGCTGGCATATTTCTAGGTTTCTTGCTTTATTTATATAATGATATGGTAAGGCATACAATTAACATGAGCCTGGTAATGAGTGAAAACATGAAGCAATATGCTGTAAGAGAGTAAGAATAAAAATGCAGCTACAATGAAACATCATTTTCTAAAACAAAAAACAAACATTTTTTCCTAAAAAAAATCTGTTCATTTTGTAAAGTCGGTGGCAGGATTCCATCTACCTGCAAACATTTAAGTCTCTGAAAATGCTATTGTTTTGTGTTGTTTTACCCAAGTTTACAACACTTGATTAGATTTTATAGAACATGGTAATGAAGGCAGACAACATCGCGCCATAAACAACCTCACTTTGAACAAAACAACATTAAACAAAGAATAAAAGTGCCTCCAAGTTATATTTACATAAAATTATAAACCAGCTACCAGACAATTGAAGCCGATCCACTTTTCATACAGCAACTCACACGTGCAGCATGCAAAGGCTTGTACCTGAGAAGAAATGTGCTTTGAATCCCTTCTTGGACACAGTGTTATCAGATTTGAATTCAATTCTCATGTTGTTGAACTGGGACGTGATCGCTTCTGGCACCTCGGCACCACAGAATTTACCATGCAACTTCGCCTCGGAGGAGAGCCCGCTCCAGATCTCCACATAATCGTATTTGCAAACCTACAAAAACATGGTCGCAGCAGTCAGCAGACCTCAGGGTATTAAATGAGCGTCACCTACCTCAGAGTCATGTGCCCCGCTTCACTTCTGTACTACGGATCAAAATGAATAAGAGTAGAGAACTAAAGCCAGCTACGGGGGTGCTCTGAGTCAGAAGGAACAACTGGGGACAGAGAGGATGAAGACGCACAGATATGCTTGCGTTGATAATGTACAGTTTTCTCAAAATATGAAAAGTGAAGAGTTGAGATCAATGTTTGTAGAGAGGTGGGTGCTGGTAATCACAAGAGAACAACTCTGTTATTTTTAATGTGACTCAAAAAATTTCTGTAGGAACTGAGCAACTGCTTCTTGCAGATGGTCTTGGTTATCACTGATACGTACAAGCAAATACGCTTAGCTTATAAAATCACCATTAGCAACAGAAACCGTATATTTTAGAGTGAAGATGAAGAAACTGAGCTTCAGAAATTTTTATAGAACTTGGCCAACATTTCTGGCTTCGTATGGAGCTTGGAGGAATGCGCCATTAAAAACCTTCAAAGACAGGGACTGGTGTATAAAAACAGGCACGTTGCTTTTCCGGCTTCCTCATCGCACACGATGCTCTTCTGAATGATGACTGAGTGGCGAACCAATAGGAAGTCTACTCAAAGGGACGCGAACCAATAGGAAGTCTACTCAAAGGGACGCGAACCAATAGGAAGTCTACTCAAAGGGACGCGAGCCAATAGGAACTCTACTCAAAAGAATGGAGAAAAAGTTCAAACGACAGCGTAGAAGAAGCTAAGTGAATCCCCGGCACTAACATTCTGTTAACACACTTTTCCAAAGCTTTCATAATACAGCACATCCTAACAAATACCGCTCGTGTGAATAACCTTATCACATGAATATGTAGTTAGTAAAATTTAGAAACGCATGTGATCCAACCCTAGGGCAAGACTTGTGCTTTGAGAAACATCAGCTGGAATTACTGGTTCCTGTCATTCCCATTAAGTAAAAAATGAGTAACATTTTCTTAGGAAAAAAAAATGATGTTTTTTCAATCTGCTTTGTTGCAACTGTAGTTTCTGTTGAATGGGCTTTAAAGTAGTGTAGAATATTTCCAAACTCAAATTCATAGAAGTTTATTTGGAAAATATACATAATGAATAGAATAATGAAGCTTTAAAGTAGTGTAGAATATTTCCAAACTCAAATTCATTGAAGTTTATTTGGAAAATATACATAATGTATAAAATAATGAAGCTGTACACTCAACTCAAAATTCCATTTCTGTATTTTTTTAAGCAGCGCCGCTGGTGTAGTGGTATCATGCAAGATTCCCATTTCTATATTTTTGTTCATGGCTGTTAATTTAAACAGCTACAGTATCAAAGCACAGAAATGGACAATTCTCTAATGACTTTCCACATGATAACATAATTATAAATGAAAGAATTCTGGAATCTGTTAACAAAATTTGAAAAGAATTCTACCATAACTGACAACCACCCTCTGAGAATAATGCTTTGAGAAAACAAAGCTCAATTTACATAGGGAACATCTATCAAAAAAATCAGTGACAATGTCACACCTGTCATAACGAAGAGTTTCACAGAAAAAATATGACAATAGATGTCACCCTACGCTAACTTCATTGAAAATCACAGAATTGGTAGTAAAATTCTGATTTTCAAAACTCATATTTCAAAAGCTCATATAAGGCCTTCATAAAAATATTATAAAAATAATGTTCCTTATTTCAATATTCTCTTCAAAAGAAATAAAAACTAAAACAACTTTTAAAAAAGGTCCATGTGGAAAAAATACACTGAGAGAAATGCTTGTATTCTTTCTGATTGTGAAACTTACTAAGGACATTCACAAAGAAAACAGAAGCAATCCGTTCATTCCTAAACTTCTACAATTCTCTCAAGTCTATGCAGCTATGACCGTGCAGACTTGAATTCCCCATGAGGTAACGGAATGTCTTTTTTCTTTTTAAAACTTACACACAGAACTGCATTATTTAAAACAAATAGGGAAAAGAAGATGAGGCGAAAGTAAGTACAGGAGAGTTGAGCTGTGGATTAGAACCTGCAGCTCTAGCGGCATTTCTGCTCCAACTGCCGTGAGGCTCAGACACTGCACATTCCTGTTCTCACACCTCTTTGCAAGTGTTCATCAGATATACATCAAAGACACAACAGCTGCAGGAGTTATGTCTCATGACACGGAGAGGGGATGAGTCAGGCTCATTCTCAAATAAACACAGGGGTGGAAGGTACTAAGGGAAAGTCAAGTAGCAGAGACCAAACACAGCACACATTGAGAGCCTTTCTCTGGATTTTCTAAGGTAGACCAATCGTACAAAGCGCCTTTTTCTAAAAGTTCTCATTTCCATTTCCTAGGCTTGACATTCTTCCACATTTGATGTACCTGTGCTCTCTCAAAAAAGAAACGTGTTTAAATGTGATTTCCTAGCAGAAAAGGCTACAATTGGTGGACTAAGTTATATTTTTCAGAGGAAAGATAGTGTCAGTTCAATGAGTCTTTTATTGAGGCTAAAAAATAAAACGTTTTATTTATAAAGCATGACCAAATACATAATGAAAAATTATATAACAGCAATATTCTTTTCTCTACAAGTAAAATATACCATTTTATCTCAAATGGACATTTTTGTTATGACTCAAGAACTAGATTTTGGTTTGTTTTCTTTCCAGAAAAGTCTATGTGACTTAAAGAGAACCCTAAATATTCCATGGTCTTTAATAAATGAAGAAAATGCTACATCTTAAATACACTAACTCAAAATTCCCTTTAAGTAGCTTTCAATCTCCCAGAAACAACTTAAAATGGTCTATTACACTATTTTTCAAGTTTTCTGGCTTGCACACAGGGATTCCTACTTTTAAAAAAATATTATTTATTGATTACTTACTTCGTTGCCTTCCAATTCAAAAAACTCAAACTTCATAGATATCCTGTACTGGGTTGGCGCGACCACTTGCCACACACAGTTTTTATTAGGAGGGTACTCTTTGGGCCATCCTGGAGTGGTGATGGTGCCATTAAGCTTGGTGAGAAGGCCACCACAAGCAGCTAAAAGAAATCAAAGGAAAGGTGTCCCCTCAATGAATTCAGCCCTTTACAGCGCATGTAGCACATCTCCAATGATAGTCAACATTCACAATATCCGAAGTATAGAAGCAAGCTAAGTTCTGGATGAATAGGAAGAGAAAATTTGCTACAGAATTAAGTGGAAGATTAGCCACAAAAAAGAATGGAAGCCTTATACCAACAGCTAAGTGGGCAGGATCAATTATGACAGAACATCTTTGTTATTCTGGAACTCTCCATTTAGCAACCATTCCCCCCATCCTCACCCCATGGATGTTCTATTTAAGAGACACTATTTACTGCTCTTCTTTGTTCATGATGAATTAAGTAAAATCATAAAATCCCAAAGTAAGCTGTGTGAAAAGATCATGTATATACATTACTTAACTAAGACCTAGGGGATCAAGAATTGCCTCAAATACACTCTTTATTGCACTTCATGTATATGATGGTGTGGTATACAAAGTCTTCTCTCAGGAAATATGTGGCAATTTGTTCCTAACAATGTCTTTCTTCTGTAGCAAGAAGATGACGTGCTTAATTAGGTGCTGAACAAAGAAACAGGGAGCCTCTGATTTTTTAAAGGCGGTTGGCAAGGGTGTGGAACCCAGTCATTAACACTTCTGCCACCTTTGCCACTTTCATCCTATCTTAGAGTACAGCGTGATGTGCTTGGTCTCAGGGGGCCTACATAGCAGTGGAAGATATCCAAGTGAAAACACAGCAAAATGCAAAATACAAGCAATGTTGAATTTCAGAAAGTCTCAAGAAGATGAATTTGACAGGAATTTCTAAAGAGGGGTGAAGGAGGATAGGACTGGAAGATAAAGGGTCTGACTGTTCCATTTCCAGGCTGAGGTGTGAAGTCAAGGGTAGCCTGGAGGGGAGGGAAATGAGAAAGCCAGCTCTACATTTGGAGGGAAGCGATTTTGGACATGGTAACAAAGCGCAGCACAATGGAAACCTCATGCTGGTTTGTGAAGAAGTGTGTACAACGGAAGCTAGCCTGCTGAGAACTGAAGATACATTGCAATGTGCATCTGTACTCCTGAATAAAGATGGACTCCCAGTGAGTCAAATATATCTTGACAATAGGATGCTGGAATTTCTAGCAGCCTACACCTACAGCGTCCTGGTACACTTACAGAGCAGAGTGTTGGACTTGTGACTGTTGATAAGAACCACGCTATTATTATCAAACAGGGCAAAACAGTGTAGAGGCGAAGGGAAATGGGGAGGTGGGAGGGCAAAGCTCTGAGCCTATGGAACTGAATCATGAAAAATAAAAATTAAAAAGAGGAAAAAATATGAATAACCATGACAAAGGCGTCTTTGTTTAATGGCATATTCATTCATGCAATTCTGATCTAGTTTCAGGCTGGACGCTTTACGTCCAGACTAGATGCTGCAGATACCAAAGTCATGACACTTTTAGACTGTGGGCTTTAATACCTACAGACTGCATGCATTAAGACAATAGCAAGTCATGGGTGGGTGGATAAAACCTGGTTCTAGAATGAAACAGAAATGTGTCTGTGTGTTTACTGTCTGCATCTGTGTGTCTATATCTGTGTGTGTGTGTGTGCATGTGTCTGTGTGTACGTCTGTCTGTGTCTGTGTGTGTGCGTCTGTGTTTGTGTTTGAGTCTGCGTGTGTCTGTGTATCTGTGTGTGTCTGTGTGTGTGTCTTGTGTCAACAGGAAAACCTGAAAACCACAAGAGAACAGACAGATTACATAACAAGAATCCAAGGAAGGTTTGAATTAGTAATTGGGGAAGGAGGTTATTACAGAGCACAAGAAAGGCAAGAGTGAAATATAGAGAGATTTTGATGGGCATGGAGAAGTCGGATGGATGGAGAGATAGCTATGGATGACAGAATATAGTCATTCTTCCTTTTGAGAGTGGGGACAGTGGTCTTCCAACATGCATGGATACAAAAATTTGCAGATGTGCAAATCCATTTTATAAAACTGTGCAACATTGGTGAACAACCTATGCACATCAATCTGCCTTCAAATCATTTATAGATGACTTCCAATCCCCAAGATGATGTGAACGCTCTGGCAATAGCTCTGTCACTATCATGCTTACAGAATACTGGTAAACAACAGTGTACACTCGTGGAACACACACATATTTCTCTTCTGAATATTTTACAGCATCAGCTGATTGGATCCACAGATGTGTATTAAAGTCAGCCATACTAGAGGTGGGGTGGGACGTGGGGATGGCGGCAGCAGGCAGGGGTTCCCCAGCCATACCTTCGCAACTCCTCCTGTCTGGCCCGAGCTCGTAGCCAGGGTCACACGCACATTGGTAGCTGCCCAGGGTGTTGAGACATCGCTGCTCGCAGCCTCCTTGGTCAGCTTTGGCACACTCATCTTCCTCTGTGAAAACGGCAAGGGTTAGGGAAGAGCCACAGCACACCGTTACAGGCTGCATTTCAAAGCCGGGTTCCAAACAGCACTGTGGACATCAGATTCCAACACAAGCACGGGGTAAGGAGCCCACTAAGCCCTGGATGGGTGATGGTGAGAGTACAAACTAAAAAGAAATAACAATCCTGAACTCACCAAACCTCTTCAATTAAAAGCTTCCATGTTTTCTGCATGGACATTCTGCCCCATAAAACGCAATCACCTCTTAGAAAATTTTGCAAATGTATATGCAATTTAACTATATTTGCAAACATGAAAATACACATATGAAAATAGTTACTTTCAAAGAGGCATATCAAAGTACTCCATAAACTCACTCTTTAGGAGAAACTTAATTTGATTTAGGAAAATATTAAGAGTCTTCTGCAGGGATCTGTATCCATGAAAGACTAAGCTTTCTTGATTGCCAAATTATGACAATGCATCAGTAAGTTCATGGGAAAAAAAATGAAGTAAAAGAATAGTTTATTACTGGGCACTTGAGCTGCAACTGAGTGCTGGGTCGGTGGAATGGCATCTTAAGCTGCTACCTGCTGCACTGGCATCACATATGTTTGCTAATTTGAAAGCCAGCTCCTTTACTTATGATCCAGCTCCCGCCTAACGGCCTGAGAGAGCAGCAGACACAGACCCAAGTCCGTGGTCCCCTGCACCCATGTGAGACACCTGGATGAAGCTCCTGACTCCTGATTTTCAGCTGGTAGAGCCCTGGCTGAGGCAGCCATTGGAGAGTGAAGCAGCAGGTGGAAATGCTTCTCTCTCTCTCTCTCCCTCTCTTTAACTCGCACTTTTGAAATCAGTGAAAAGACCTCTCTTGGGATATCGCACAAGCCTTGGATCTGCAAATTTGGAGACTGAAGCAGCAGGTGGAAGATGTTTCTATTTGACTCTCTTTGATGTTTGAATAAAAAAATAAAATTTAAAACATAACTTTAGGATGATAGAAAAAATATAATCCATGCACAGCTGTTTTTGTGAAATGAATTTTCCATGAACCTCCTGTAGATCCCTCATATAACTACTACATGAAGGAAACCTGGTGGCATGCTTTCTGTACTACGAAATAAAACTCACATAGAAAATCTTAAAACATATACATGTGCATTTTAATAAATATTTTAATACAGGTGGTGAAAGCCCTCAGCTGCTCTGCTGTTTAATCCATATGGTAAATACTTAAGGACTCAGAGACACCTATTTCATCGTTCTATTACCCTAAATTTTTTCACATATTCAATTGAGTACATGACTTACCACAGAAAATGAGAATATAGAAAACATTTTAATTTTCTCACCAAAATTTTGTGAATTTCAGAAAAAGCATATTTGATGTATGTACACTAAAATAATTTTCTTCCTGCCTTACTGTCATGACCTCATTCACCTGTGAAACTACAAAACGAACTAAAATGTAGTTATGGTATTAAAAATCAATGCTGACTAGTACTGTCTTTGTCCAAAAAGTCATTTTTTGCAGAACAGCCCGCTAAGGAAACCACGGAGAATTGCTCACGATCCTGTAAAGGACAATTGGGACGTGCTGGCAACTGGAAATTAACTGATGGGCTACAAGGCACTAAACTCTCTTCTCATTGGGAATCTCCTGTTGGTTTCATGTCAGTACATCCTTTTCTGGATATTGCTAGTTTTACTATTTATTTAAAAACTGATGGCAGAGTGCCACAATGGAGTTCCTGTGCTGCACTTCAAAGTCATTTTACAAATAGCTTTTTCCTTCAAAACTCACCAAATGATCCTTTATAAACAGCGCATACTTCAACTTCGAATACAACTTTAACTTTGGCAAATGACTTCAGGTTACCTTTAAAGAAGTTGGCAGCAAAGCCTGCCTTGTTCACCGTTCCATCCGAAACAAACTTCATCCACAAAGTGTTGGAGGTAGATCTTATGTCATCAGGTTTATCATAACCACAGAAACGCCCTATCAAAGGGCTGTTTTCACTGGATCCATCTCGAACTTCCAGGTAGTCATAGGCACAGTTGTCATGTCTTTCAATCTGTAGCAGTGAAAATACATCAATCTAAATCTTATTAACAGAAAATAAAGAGAGGCATAGAGGGTAAAGCCATGGCATGCAATTACAGCATCCTATATGAAGCCAGTTCATGTCCCAGTGACTCCACATGTGATTCTGTTCTGTCTCTGCTAATGGCTTGGAAAACCAGTGGAGGGTACAAAAATATGTGACCCCATCAACCACGCATGAGACCTGAATGACTTCCTGGCTCCTGGCTTCAACCAGGACCAGGCACTGTTGCCATCTGTGCAGAGAACCAGCAAAAGAAAAATCTATTTTTCTCTTTCTGTTTCTCTTTTTCTCTCTTCCTCTTCCTCCTTCTCTCTCACTCACATACTGTCTCTCTCCCTGTGTGTTTCTTCCTCACACACTGTAGATTTGACTTTCAAATAAAAATTTTTAAAAAATTTTTATTATATGAAACAATTCCTTTAGGAAGATTAAATATGCTCAGTGCTGTGGCACAGATCTGCTGACTGACTTGTGCTACACACGTGCACGCAAGCATTTCTCATGAGCGTATGCAACAGTACATTGCACATAAATAAAGAGCATTTTTTATGGACAAGTGCATCCACACAAGTCAGAATCAACAAGCAGAAGATAACTAATTTTTGAAATAAAGTGAATTGTAAGTCCAGATTTCTGAAAAGATACCTAGACTTAAGATGATCGTTAAAAACATGGGCCAGAAGTATAATTAGTTCTTCGACATAGTCATAAGAATCACCCCTTGCTGATCAGCACAATCACTGCTTTGTTCGTAGAGAATCTGTATTCATGTACTCTTGACAAATGTGTCATGAGTTTAGCTTAGATGTGTGACTTGGAAAGGAAACCTGGTGATTCTGGATGACAGCTCTTCCTAGGCTAAGGGATTCGCGCTTTCCAGCTAGCACAGCTGTTTGTAGGAACTACGAGATTGCAGAATCACCACTGATGTTCCTTTCCCAAGGAAACAGGGCCTTGACATGCTGCTCCTAAGCCCTGTGGCTCAGAGAAGTGCGGCCTCTGTCCTTAACCGCCACATGTAAATATCCTGTCACTGGCTGGCCCGTGCCATTCCATGCAGAAAGACATGTTCAATGCTCTACCGCACTGAACTTTTGAAAACATCTGGACTCAAATGGAAAGAGATGTGTCTCCAAGGACTAGGGCATCAAACTGTGGAAACTGTACAGCAACGTGAAAGTGCTCGACACACCGAGGAGCCCCTGGTAAATCACTGTGATGCTAGATGTTATGTCAGCCCCAGTTCTACAAAAACATTCTAGCATGAAATAGGTCTAACGTACAATTACTGTAATCAAATGGAAGGAAGGCAGCAAAGTGTACAACTTTATAGATGATATAATTTTAAATAACATTATTCAAACGATGTTCTTTTTTGCTTTTGGAAGAAATGTGAAATAGTGTGATTAATAACGCTAAAATGGATGAGCATTTATCTTTACACTTGACATTCATTTTAATAATGAGAAATATCTAGTCATGTTTAGGAATTAATGATACTAACAAATATATTTTGGGGAGCAAGCAGCTATGCCTAGTGGTTAGGCTGCCTGTGTGATGCACTGGGCTCCCTGTGCTGGCTGCAGCTTCCTCGGAGTGCAGACCACGGGAGGGAGCAAGGGACAGCTCACAGGGTTTGGTTACTACAATCCATGTGGCCGGCTTGTGCTGCAACCTGGCTCCTAGATGTCAGGAGCTATCTCTCTTTGCTTGTATCTCTGACTCCTGAAGTTGAAACAATTAAGAAGTAAAATCCATTTGTATAAAAAGGGGGGAACATAGATAATCTGTTTATATTCATTATCTCATTCAATATATTCTAATGATACTTCAATATATTCTAATGATACTTCAATATTGCATTAATAGCTACGTATAATTACAGTTCATAAAAGAAGAGGAAATACTCAGTTAAATGTTCAAAGCAACATCTTCAACTTGTCTATTTCACATGTCATTCACGTAAATGCTGCCACTCCATTTTTCCTCTTGACAATACTGTATTTTATTTATGTAATTTAGCAATAATTAGATATCTAATTAGATTGCTAATATGTAATTTAGTATCTTATTAAAAACCTGCTATAATCAGATAATCTGTGTTTATTCATATGGGAACAGTAGTAAGTTAAAAATGTCTCTGACACATGAGGAGATACCAAAAAGCTCATGGAAAATTGAATTGACACATGCTTACGTTGGTGCAAAATAGCGCATTCATGCATCTGAATGCGTGGTGTGCAGACGAAGAGTGTCATGCATGACATGAGAAAACGTGGATGCTTCTCCTCCCCCAGGACCTACTGACACACGGCACAGACCACAGATTTGGTTTCAATCACAGCACCACAACTGTATGACCTTAGCACGGTTTACTTAAACCAACCAGTGCTAATCTCTCGGAGCCCAAATATATCCTGAATCATAACTCACACAGAGCTGTGTAACTCTTTTACACTCACTAACCAAGGTCTCTTCCTAACTTCACATTCAAAAGCTGTACATGAGAAACAGAAAACATTAACCTCCTTATCTTAGTTCATTCACAATGAAAAGTCTACTTATCATCAGCTAATAAAAAATAGTTAATGCAATTAAAGGATTACTTTGTCCAAGCAATCCACCAGGCCTCAAGCTAAAAGTGCAGGTACCCAGTTTAGACGTATACACAGCTTAGAGTGTACACAGTTTAGAGAGTACACAGCTGGCAGTCATGACACTTAATGCTAGCACATTTCCCTGGTTTTCATAAGGAAAGTATCACCCAATTAGGACGCATTGCAATGTTGACAAGTACCTCCAAGTTAATCCCACTTGAATTCATGCATGTAGGGATTCAGTGTAAATAAAACTTAGCTTCAAGTTTGTTTCACTTATTTTTTTTGCTTTATTGACATTTCTTTGAAGTTGTTACTATAAACATTTCCAGTTCCCAGATTTTTCTTTTGCGAATCTGCATATTGGAAATTCCCCAATAGAATAGCAGGGCTGGAGGCTTCTTTACAAAGATGCTGTGGGAACAGGGGGAACCTTCCCAGGTTAAACTCAGAGGTGATGGGTGCTCATAAGAATGCTAACTAGCCCTGTATCCAATGTGATATAGAAAACAGAATAAATTAAACAAAGCAACCAAAGAAGAAACAACAAAATATTTAGGGGGACAGGCATTTTGCCTAGTGGTTAAGAAACCAGATAAGACGTTCCTATACCGAATGAGAGTCCGTGGCTTTGGCTACCAGCTCGGATTCTCGATTCCAATTTTGTGGACGTCCAATGTGGACGCTGACAGGCAGCAATGATAGCTTAAGTCCCTGTGTCTGCCATCCACTGCAGGCACCTTGATTGAGTTTTAGGCTCTTGGCTGTGTCCCCAGCCAGGTGTATTCAGGGAGGAATAGAACAAATCTTTCTCTCTCTTTCCCTCTCTGTAACCTTGACATCCAACTTTTATATAATTTACAAATATATATATATATGTAATTTTAAAAAAAGCAATGGAGTATCCTGACCTGCAGGGGAGGTGTGATGCCTGGTACCCACAGTTCCCAGGTGATGCAGGTGGCTGGCCTCAGTCATGTGAATCTGCCTGACTCTGGATGTCCCTCTGCTGCCTTTGCATCTTTAGAACTGGGGACCTCTCATCACCATCTTCCTTCTAGGCAGTTGAACATCTACCCTCACATGTCCCTCTCACCAGCACAGTCTCACTGTTTCTTTCAATGCTCAGTTATTTTAGATCCATTCTGTGGTTTAAACAGCCTTTTCTTGCCTTCCAACACATAACTCAGCTCCCCTCTTCAACCACAAATGACCTCCTAGCCAGCCCGGCTTGGGGGAGATTTCGGCTCCCTCTTTTGCTTCCTCCAGTCTCCACAACCAACAACACAGTAAAGCAACCGAAAAATATTTCTGATTTATTCAAAACCTGGGGCTCTTGGTTTCTGATATAAACTGTTATCTGGGTGATAGCTGAAAAAAGGCAAAGAATGGATTTTTTTCCCTAACAAAAATTATAGTCTACCTTTTAACCTCTTAGTTTAGAAGAGGAATAAAAGTTCTGTCATCTAGTGGCCCCTCCAAGCAATCTCATGAAACAACTCCATGCATTTGTCAGAGAAGAGTGTCAGTAGTTCAAAACATTCTGAATCAAGTAGAGCAGATAATGTAAACGCACTTTAATCTTCTTGGAAATGTCTGCAACAAGAGGAGAGAAAAATCCTTTCCCTCTTGATCTTGCGTTTTATAGGCAGTGCTTTTCTTCTTTGCTGATTAAACGGCTGATCCTCTGGTTTTGTGCTGATTTAATGAGGACTCCCTTAAACGCCACTGTCATTTACGGAGACTTTACCTCAAAGGCCTGAAAGGTCAGGCCCACGTGGTAGCCCTCAGACACGGAGATTCTCCACACGCACTCCTTCATGGGTCTGTAGTCATCGGGGTAATTCGGAGACTGGATCTGGCCTTCATTTTTACGTATCTCACCTCCACAGACGGCTGCAGAAAGCAAAAACAAGGTCAACAAAGCTGGATCCACTGTCCTTGTCCTCTGAGGTGACATCTGAGTTCACGTCCTGCAGCTCAACACATAAAATCACCAGGTTATAAAAATCAAAGTCGGGTGGTTGCCCTGCTGTAAAAAATGCATGTTTTAAAAAGCATGTGGGTCACCTCATCATAATCAGTCAAGGACTGTTCAATTTTTAATCACTGTTATTGCATATATTCACCAAAGTGAACATTGCCTTTCACTTTACAATTCTTTGGGGATTTTGTAAATGCATTCCATGTGAGCCCATGCAGCGCTTCTCTCATTTGGCTCATTCCGTCCTGGGAGCACAGAAGAAACGGCTCACCGGAATGGACGTTGCCCTGCCTGAGCAGCACTGCCAGGAGCCAGTGACAGGTGTGTGACGTCTGAGGCCCCTCTCCACAAGCCCTGCATGGCCATGTGTCATGCTGAAGACACCTTCGGTGACTTCAGGCTTCAAGGGAGCAGAGAGCTTTTCTGCCTTTGGAATCACCTAAATACTTATGCTAGGGGGTCCCTCATCCTCCACTGGGCAAGAGAGGAGGCATTTGCAAAGCCAGGAGGAACGACGCCAGTGGGCATTTTCAGAGAATTGCAGAACAGTCTCATACTGCTCCCTTGAACGTTGCCTCTGACTTAGACAAAGCACACTCCAGAAAGGGCACACTTCCTTTCTGTGCCGTTTTCTTGCGCTGGGCAGTTCTGCGGCACATAGAGGGAACCCACACATAACTGGCAAACAGGCAATTCTTTCATAACATTTCAAGGTTACTGTGAAGCAAAGTTGAAGACTGGTGCCATGAGTATCCTTTTGTGCCCCACATACTTGACCACATCTAGATGATACAACCTCACTGATAATAGACAAGTGAGTTGCTCTTACACCTTAAATTAATGAAGTACTTTTGTTAAACTCATCCTTGGGATTTTAAAATCACCTTTGTGAATATCTTTCACATTGTGAATGTGAAATGGGTTCAAGCTATTTTATAATTTAGAAATTTGGCTATGATATTATCCTAAAGCAACCGAATGCGCTGAAATTTTGAGACGTGAAGAGGTTTCTGAGAATCCAGGGCACTTGCCTTCGTACACAGCCGCAAAGCCTTTCCCTACCCAGTTGCTGCTGCTACGAAACTCGATCCACATCCTGCTGTCCGTAGAGGCCAGAACTTCGGGCACTTTGTCCCCACAAAATCTACCTAAAAGAAGGAAAAGAGTAAAGAAAAATTCCTAAACGTGATTTAGTATTCTAATGGGCTTCCAATGATAATTGCAAATTCTGTAGAAAGAAGGGTCCGGTGCGGTAACAGAGTGGCTAAAATCTTCGCCTTGCATGCGCCAGGATCCCATGTGGGTACTGGTTCATGTCCTGGCTTGTGGCCCGGGAGAGCAGTGGAAGATAGCCCAAGGTGTTGGAACCCTGGACCCACACGGGAGACCCAGAAGAAGCTCCTGGTTCCTGGCTTCTGGCTTCAGATCAGCTCAGCTCCAGTTCTTGTGGCCACTTAGAGAGTGAACCAGCAGATGGAAGAACTTTGTCTCTCCTCTCTGCGAATGTTATTTTACAATAAAAATAAATAAATCTTTTTAAAAGGAGTTTCCAAAGCTTATGAACAGTGGAATTTAAAAATAAGTGTTTTGGCGCACTAAAATTTTATTTACATTGAATTTTTGATGACTCCCCCAAGTTGTCATGCAGTCTGGTCCATGCCACTCCTTTTAGTGATAAGAGCCATAACGATGCCTTAATACTCAAGTGATACAAGTGGATAAGTAAAACAATCCCTTCAAATCCCTTTATGAATCATTGGTTCATGACCCTTGGAGTGACTGCTGCCCATACCATTAGTACACACAGAGGGCAGGATTTCAAAGAACACTTTAGTAAAAGGTCACATGTTTTATCCAGGTAGGGAACCTTACTCCAGAGGCAACAGGAAAAGGTGTGTGTCACCCTGAGTAGTTTGAATTCTTCATCTGATCAGTAGCACGAGAGTGCCTTGATTACCTCTCATCTTGAAATGGAGCTCCTTGCCCGGTCAAGTTTAAAGATAACCCCTAGGTCATTCCAATGTCTGATATCCATGTACTACCATTCCATATTGTCCACAAAGCCATCACTTCTAGTGTGCAGGCAGAATAACAAGTTGGATACAAGTTGCAATCTTTTCTAATTGCATATTCACAGGTAAACAGACCTGCCTTTTATTCCACTCATTGCTCCACGTTAGGTATTACTTTAAGTCTGTCATTGTGCTCTAAGTTTCTGCATCATGAGAAAAAAGACTAATAAATCTAACAAAATGCATATGAAACAATCCTACAGACTTATTACAATGTTATTAATTTTTGTGTCCTGCAAAAATTGCCAGAAATAGTTTAATATGTGGGGAATGCTAACTGATTACAAAATCGATTAGAGGCAGGTAACACAGAGCAGCACTTAAAGTGAAGTGTGCATGAAAATGGCCAGAAATTTCCCTATGCAGACAGTTCTGGGAGGTATGCAGTGGGATGTGTTTGTATGAGTCTATTGCCTTCCCAGGGATTCTGTAACCCAAGACTACATCCCTCATAGAAAGCCCAGGAAGAAATGGGAGGGAGGAGTCGGGGCGGGGGTCTGCACATGGAAACCTTACACACTAAGCTAGTTGGGCAGACCACTGCACACCAAACCCTATAATGTAATGTTGCTCTTAGAAGACTGATTTCCCACATATTACCTCTGGATATTATTTTTCAATAGGAGTTTAACAAAATGCTTTTTTTGGAAGGCGCATACCTATATAACAAATTGCTTCACACAGCCTGAAAATTAAATGTAAAGAAATTGCTTCCCTCAGTCTGAGTTGCTGCATTTGTTCAAGCCTTTCTGTCTCCTTCTTTTCAAACATTTCTGAAGTAAGCCTCCTGGACTTACTCAGGCTGCTATTGCTTCTAATACATGTGTCCACTCAGCAAGTTTTAGAAAAAGATCTTCAGAGCACACAACACAACTGAGCACAGCTACTTCTAAAAATAAAAGGAGAAGTTGCAATATCTAGACACAGGGTTCAGGGAGAGTAGACACTCAAAACGCCTCTCACTTTTCAGTAATGCAACAGCCACAATAAGCCTGCACATGCAAGTTAACAGTGTGGTTTGTGGTTAAATGTTGCCAGTAGACTTTGGTGAGCACCAAATCTGAGCTACAATTTATGAGGCAAACTCTAAATGCCTCCCAGGCACAGAAACACTCTGAGAGGCAAAGCCATGACAGTTTCAGAAAGAATGAATGTGCTTGATATAGCAAACCACCCATTAAATGTGTCACTGACAGCTCAGTCTACTATATGAGCATAGTACACACAGCACATACATGCGAAATGTATCAGTTTCTTGATCATAATTTTGTTATTTATTTTTCATGTATTTATTTGACAGGTATAGAGACAGGGAAAAGAGAAACCGAGATGGGCAGACCAGGACTGCTCTCATCCACTGGTTCGGCCCCAAATGGCTACAAAGCAACAGGCCCAGAACACAGTCCAGGTCTCTCCACGACTCAGAAGACACACCTAAGCCATCACCTGCCTCCCAGTGTGCATCAAGCTAGAAACAAGCCTGGTGGCAGAACCCAGAGCTCAGCACACTCCTTGCAGTGTGTAGGCATCCCTGCAGGCATCTTACAGGGTGGGTCAAACACTAGCCCCAAGCTGTGATTTCTACATCACTGGAGGACCAGCCACAGTACATGAGAAAGCTATTGTCATCAGGCTCAGAAACCCTGCTCTACTCACCAGCTGAATCTAACTAACTGAGTTTAAATTGGTCTGCTCAACTATCTGTTTTTGAGTATTCTGCATATGGTTGTAGAAAGCTATACTGTCATTAAACAGGACCACATTGTAACTCTAAGGTGACTCCAGGCAGAATTCCCTTTCTCTTACCAAGTAGGGGTGACTTTCTCCAGTACCCGTCTCTCACTTCGATGTAGTCGTACCAGCACAAGCTACTCTTATACAGGTCCATCGTGGTGAAATTTAAAACAATCTACAAAGTGGGGGCAAACAGAGTAAATCTCGTTATGACTCCATGGGATGGTCTGATTTCTAAACAGCAGGAACACAAGACCACCCTGCAAGCATGCTCCCAGCAGTTCACAAACAGCTGGATTAAACACAGGCTAGAACTCAGATTTATCCATCGAACTATAACCGGAGGCTTATGTCACTCTTCATCTCTTGATCCCAGAACATGTATTCTAAGACTGTCCAAGTCAGAAGCTGTTGTACATGACCTTTGTTCTGTGCTCTGTGCTACTCTGATGCTACAATTTTAGGAAAGACCATCTTACAATATTAAAAAGGCTTTTACTTTCAGATTATTAATCTATCTATTTATCTATTTACTTACACCAGAAGTAGGCACAAAGTAACACTTATCTGATAATTTGGAAATATTTATTATCTTCTAAAATTTGTTCTCGTTTCCACTTAAATTTAAAAATGTAAGACTTCTATTCTTTGCTGCAGAAACTGAAATGGACATTCGCTAAAAGAAACAAATTATGAATATCTGAAGTATTTCTAATACAAACCTATGGCTCACAATACTATTGAAAGAAATTTTGTGACAAAAAGTTGAAGATGTGGCAAATCTTGTGGATCTAAAGGGTGTGTGGAAAGTAGGATGAATCAATTCTGAGTCCATGTTCTACAAGGATGCCATCAATTCAGACACAATGTTTGACAAAAGATCAGTACTAAAAATGGCAAGCCAACCTGGGACTAGCTTACTCCTTTCCAGAATGAAAAGACATGCTCTTGCAAACATCAAAAAGGGTTCACAAAGATCATGGAATGCAACAACAAATGTAATCAAAAATAAAATTTGCAGCAAAAATTGTTGAATACCATGCATAAGAGAGATCTTAGAAAAAAATCATGAGAATTGCATATTCCTGAAAAAGCTGCATAAATTTCAAAAAAAGTGTCACAGTATTCATCCCCTTTCTATGTTGTCTATCGCTGCTTTTGTTCGGCCTGATAGAAATAACTGTTTGCAATAAAGACAACACCTTCCAGAAGAGTAAAATTAACAATATGCCATTTGCAGAAAACTGGGTGTGCGTGGGGGAGAGCTGTCTGTGTTGCCCAATGAGTTATACTACCATTTATGATTGCAGCATGCTGTGTAGGAGCAACGGTTTCAGTCTCAGCTACAGCTCTTCCCATTCCCTGCTAATGTGCCAGGGAAAGTAGTGAAAAGTGGCCCAAGTACTTGGGTGCCTGCCATTCATGTGGGAGACCCAGATGGAGTTCTCACTTCCTGGCTTCCATTTGGACCAGCCCTGGCAATTATTACTTGGGGGAGTGAATCAGTAGATACAGAACTCTCTCTCTCTCTCTCTCTCTCTCTCTCTCTCTCTCTCTCTCATAAGCATATATTCACACACTGCCCCCCCATACTACTTTTCCTCTCCTTCTGTCACTCTGCTTTCAAATTATTAGCTAAATAATAATTAGACACCTTAAAGGCTAGTAGAAACAGTCAAGCATTTTAAAAATTTTCTTCTTGAGTAAGCTTAGAAATACTTGTATTTATCCATTTCATCTATGATTCATGAACATAATTTTGAAAATATTCATCTTATTATTTTGGTGTCTAAAGCAGCTATAGTGGCTTTGTAAAAAGCTCATAGATAAGAATTCATATTTTTTCTTGAATTTTAAAAAATATTTATTGAATTGAGAGATGAGAGAAAGGGGAGACAGAAAGAACTATAGCACCAATAACCTGTTCCCCTCTTAAATACTCAAGCAAATGACTATCGGTGGGAAGTTGAGAACTCAGCCAGTTCTCCCACCAAGGTCCTAGCTACTTGCACAATCACTGGGGCCTACCAGGGTCTGCATTAGCAGACAGCTGGAGTCTGAAGGCAGAGCAGGGAACTGAACCAAGGCACATGAGGCAACACACAATCGTTTTAGCTACTGGGTTAAAGAAAGGAGAGAGTGACAGCCAGAACTAGGAACCCCTGCCTAGAGTCCTACACGGGTGCTGTACATTCGAGGCCTAGAGCCATCACTGGCTCCAGCAGAGGGTGCATAGCAGGAGGCTGTCCCCATGGGGCAGTCCAAAGCAGCAGCTTCACCGGCCGAACCTTCTCCGTGCAGTTCACCTCTATCACCTGCACCTGCATTCTGAGAGCTCAGTGCTCGCCTTGAAGGAGACTGACATCCAACAGAACAACCTCATCCTGGAACCACGGACAAGAGAAGGACACTGAGAGACAATGAACCTGGAGGGTACACCATGTCTCCTTTGAGCCTAAGTAAAGCCCGGAGTCGGCGCATCTACCTTTTCCCCCGGGGTCACCGACACTCTCCAGACGCAGTGTGTGTAGGAAGGGTAGCCGTTGGGGAACCCTGGGGAGGACAGGTTGCCGCTGGATTCTTGAAGGGTTTCACCACATGCTGAAAGTGAAAAAAGGAAACCAGATCATTGCTTTGTTTTTACAAAGGACAAGAACACAATAAATAAATATACAGTTTTGTGTGTGTGTGTGTGTGTGTGTGTGTGTGTGTGTGTGTGTGTGCTGTTTTGGTATAGACCGGAGTTTAAGCATTTCATAAAAGATTTTTTCTAATTATTTTTATATCTATCTCTGAGGAATTCACTAAGAATCAATATATATACAAGTAACAATCTGACATTCATGAAGTTCTATATGAAAACCTTTCCCGCTTAATCCCCAGCATCAGGGGTCCAGGTAAATCTTCAGACTCTTGCCAACTACACCTACTTGCTATGTCTCCAGGGTCACATAAAACATTCCCTAAATACAGCCAGTGAGAGTTAAAGAGAACTTTCACAACGAGTACCATGTCAGGAATAAAAATTATCCATTGAAAATTAATGAGTTGCTAAACATAAGTGGTATCAAAATGTCACACACAAGGTTTTTCTTTATCAACAACAACAACAAAAATAAAACATTAAGGCATCACGGAAGTTCTGAATTTTTCAAAAAGCTCTATCTATTTTCTATTATTCATACATAGAAAGTCAGATGGTAAATTTTCCTCGTAATAAGCCTGGCTCATTCCATGGATAGTGGCATCTGTTATACTGCTTCTGTGTGAGGACTGAGGGTCATCACCCATGGGCAGTGGGCATGCCTGCTGCTTATGGGACGCCTGCAATGAGTCCCCGGAGCCTTGGCTGCTTAAAATAGCTGCAATGATAGAATGATTCCACCAATGAAACGGTGTCTCTATCACCTGCACTCAATAATTTGCAAGTTAGCTCCTTCCCTCTGAAGGAGACGAGAATCAAAGCTGAGATATTATCATATTCCACAGTCACTCCTCTCCTCCAACACTCAATAAATTATATATGGTTCTTCCCAACTATATTAAATGCAGAAATAAACATAATGACTCTGAAAACATAGCGCAGAGCTGTAAACACAGTCTGTTGTGTTATAAATATTTATTCAGGAAAACAGAGACTGTGCCTGAACAATGGAATAAACTTAAAGTAGGAGTGAGCAATGTTTAATCTGATGAGCAAGCAGATCAGAGTAAATTTAGAAGAAAATTAAATGCCCAAGGTCAAGAATGCATAATTCAGCATTGTCCCGTGAGTCATTCAGGACACTTGATACATGTAACATTGCATGAAGACTTAGAAAAATGAAACTGATTAAGATTTTGCTAATGCAAACAATAAATTTCCAAGTAGGACCATTTTAGATGCTAAATAGTGACTTAGAGTTTGACTGAGTTCAATGAAAAAGACTATAATTTTTATTCTGTAATAATTTAAAGCCCCAAGAAACCATTGAAAATTCTGTTACTGGATTTGTTAAAGTAATATTTAAAACTTAGATATTTAGTCCATCAACACATACATATAACACTGCTCTCATTAAAAAGAAGGATATTCCCTAAAAACATGAAATATATGGTTAAGAAATTAAATAAACATATAAAACAGTACATGCTTACCAGGCAATAAGTACAAACATCTACATTCAGGTTGTGGTTATCATTCATGGATTCTTCTCAATAAATACATTTGGACAAAAACTAATATTGTTTGTCAACAGGAAAATGCAGATAAAAACCACAATTAGAGATCATCTCACTCTAGATAAAATGGCAATCACCAAAAAGATCAAGTAACAGATTCTGGCAAGGGTGTCAAGAAAATGGAATCCTTACACACCATTGGAGGAGAATAAAATTAGTACAATCATTACAGCAAACAGTGTGAGTCTTCCTGGTTAACTAGAAATGGATCTATGAAATGACTCGGCTATTTCACATCTGCATACAAATCCAAGAGTGATGAAATCAGCCTACCAAGGAGATCCCTGAATGCCCATGGTATTGCAGCACTATCAATAGCAATGCCAACTGAAGGATGTAGATAAAGTATGGTAAATATACAGAGTGGAATTTTTCAGTCCTTAGAAAGAATGAAATCCTGACAATCAGGAAAATGGATAGAATCAGAGGTCATTATGTTCAGTGAAAGACGACAGATACAGAAAGACAAACGCTGCACGTGTTGGCTGCCTTATGTGGTGGCTTATCCAACTGCAAGAGCACACTCCTGCACACCCACATGCCTGTGCTTGCAAGGAGCAATACCTGGACATCGATACAGCTTTCTTGCCTGTGCAATATCTCCTTTGCTTAAACGTGTGCGTTGACCGATGGCCGGACGTATGCCGTTATCATCACGGGAGGGGAGAATGGTGTCCAGAAACATCCCCCTGAAAGAACAGAAACAAACCACACCTACGTCACCAAGTCAAAGCTCATACCTCACTAACCAATATAAGGATACTTCTTAAACAAACAGGAAATATAAAGGGTGAGCTCCAGGTCAATGTTTTCACAAACAAAATACTATCATCAAAGTTAAAGAAAGTGGATGTTAAATGTGGATGCCCAAGATGATATTCACTTGTTCCTTAGAAATCTGTACTATGTGTTTTTATATATAATCTCCAAGAAACTGAAGTCATGACTCTTCATCTTCCAGACAGATGACAGAATATTACATTATATTCTAAATATTACAGCATATGTTTAGAGAAAGAAAAATGATATCAAGAGTTATGCAGGGCAGTATAAAAAAGAATTATACATTATTAACAATCTTTCATAGAAAAGTTGGTAACCAAGAAATCCCAATCAATGCCCTGCTAATGCTAAACTGCACCTACTGAGTTGTTTTTGACTTAAGGAAAGATTTACTCTTCTTCCTAATACATGTCAACAAAAATTCTAATGATATTGCACTAAAGATACATCCTAACATTGCAAATGTACTTCTACCATTTATAACTTTAAAGGAAGTACTGAGATTAAAAAAGAATGAAAGGTGAGACTGTTCTTCTGAGAGGCTGGGAATTATAGTGTCTGCATATGGAGTTTTAAAAATCTATATAACAAAGAAGGAAATCTATAAAAATATTTTAAGTCATGGGGCCGGTGTGATGGCTCGCAATTGGCTAATCTTCTGCCTGCATGTGCTAGCATCCCATATATGCACCAGTTCATATCCTGCCTACTACACTTCCTATCCAATTCCCTGGTTGTGGCCTGGGAAAGCAGTAGAGAATGGGCCAAAGCCTTGGAAACCTGCACCAGTATGGAAGACCTGGAAGAAGCTCCTGGTTCCTGGTTGCAAATAGCTCAGCTCTGGCCGTTGTGCTCATTTGATAAGTGACCCAGCAGATGGAAGATCTTGCTTTTTGTCTGCCCTCTTTTCTGTAAATCTGTCTTTCCAATAAAAATAAATAAATCTTTAAAAATATTTGAATTAAACAATAAGTTTGTAAAACATTTTTAAACATTTTTCTTATCTCAGAGGCAGACAGATTCACTCCTCAAATGCATACGACATGGAGGGTGAAACTGGGAGCTGGGACACCAACTTAAGACTCCCATGTGAGTAACCGCAACCCAATCAAGTTAGCCATCACAGTTGCCTTTAAGCACGCAAATTAGTTGGCAGTTGGAATCAGAATCCGAAGCCAGTGCGTGAACCCAGATTCGCAGATGTGGGATGTCACACTGTGGCTGGCAGCTTAATTCCAGGACTAACGCCCACCCTGTAAAATAGCTTTTAAAGGGGTGCAATGAAGAGACATTTCTCTTCAGAATTCATAACTCACTTCTCTGCAAGTTTAAAGAATAACATTTGAAGTTCCACTTATTCCTTCCTTCACGGAACATTTATTAAGCACTGTTTTAGGTCTGGATTTACAACAATAAGCAGAACTAACAAAAAGATCACCCTTTCTGATTGTGACATCTTAAAGTGAAATTAAAGTGACATTAAAATGAAAGACTGACAACTTGAGTAGTGATTAGCACTTTGGAGAAAAATAAAAGTGAGAACATGATTGTCAACTGCACAGAGAGGTGTGGTCTTCAAAGGGGTGTTCAAACAAAAACTCTCCTGAAAGTTGACACTCACTCTAGCCAAACAGGAAGCGAAGCAGGGCAGGACAATATGACTACCTGCCAGCAGAGAGTCCCCAGAGAGAAAGAACCACCTGCAGATGTGAGAACTGTTGAAATGTTTGAGCACTGGCCAGATAATTTGGTTCCCTGGAGGACAGCTGCTAATTTGTAGAAAGATAGTAAACAGAATACCAGCACACATTTATGACTAATTACCCTAGCTTCTGAGTAAACAGAGCAGTGCTGCTAGTCAACCTGGAGAACTCAAATGCCACAGCTATAACTCTTTAAATACAGTCTATATATACATACAGTCTACGTATGTGTGTACTATAAATATACTGCTTCTGCCATGAAGATAGAGAAGTGGAGACTAAAGATTTATGGGGAGTTGATCATTGAAAGCAAGAGCTGGCAAGTGTCTAATAAGATGCAATCCAGGAAGATCAGTGTAATTGGAAAGGGAAGTTGAGTTACAAGGTAACATTGAGAACCATTTCTCAACGATGCTGCATGGATCAACAGACATGAAGTGGGGAAACTGAAACAAATGAAGTGCTAAAACTTCTGCAGTCATTCAGTACTGCTATTGGCTGTTTTGTATTTCTATTTCCAAAAATAAGTAGGCCACCTTTGGGAAGTTTCATTCTTTAAGCTTTCCAAAGGGATTCAATATCTTGAATAGGTTAATTACATCTTGGAGTGGATATATGCAAGCCCAGCCAGTGGAATGATGAATTCTGACTCATTCTGTCTACTAAGGGAACATCTTTTCCATCCTAAAGGGGTTAATCACTCATCCTTCTCCTTGTTTTGTGGGCAGGAAATTAACCATTCTCTTTCTCCAAGTCTTGGCCATTGAACAAGGAAGGCTGTTGTAAGACTTCCTCAAGGAGGCATTATCAATAGGCCACAGACAAATCATACTGGGGTTTACTTCTAATAGCCATTCTTCATTTGTTTAGTCGTGTTAAAATAGCAAATGAATTAGTCTTGCAAAGCTGCAGAACTCTTCTTTTAATGAAAACAGTTTGCAAGCATTTATCTTACAAAATCCATGACTCTGAAGGCCTCGTAGATTCAAATTTCTTCCCGCATTGATTTCCTAAATCTATTCCATGGACTACATTCACGGAAACAGCTGTAACCATTATGGAGTGCATGGCAAAATATAAAACTTTAAATACAAAGGACAACATCTTATGATTATCTCACTGATGTACAGAAAGCATTTCACAAGATTCCACATCCTTTCATGATTAACACTCCACAAAGTTGAAAGAGAAGGAAGCCACCTCAGCATAATGAAAGCCACATGTAAAAAGCCCAGAGCTAACATCATACTCAACAGTGAAAAACAAAACTTTGCTTGTAAAATCAGTAACAATAAAAGGATGCCCACCCTCACCACTTCTGATCAGCAAGGTATTGGAGTTTATGGCCAATGTAACTAGGCAAGAAGTTAGAGAAAGCGGGGAGAGAACGGGTATGAGAAAGGGAAGGAAGAGCAAAAAGAAGAACAGGGAAACGAAGAGAAAGAAGAGGGGATGGAGCAAGAAGATGATGAAGAAGCAGCAGCAGAAGAGGCTTTAGCTTTATTTGCAGATAACATGTTCTTAAACACAGAATATCCCCAACGATCCACCACAATAAACTGTTAGAACTGCTAAACCACCTTAGCCTTCTTAATGTGTACAAAGACAATTGTTTTGTATTTCAACATTGTTAGAGCATTTTTAGTTGTAACAGTTAGTTTTGGCCTGGGCCAGATCTGGCAATTTCTGCTGTAGTGAGACCTAGAGACTGTTGCCATATTGATAAAAGATCTTATACTCTCTGTCCCTTTTCCTGTAACTTTGCCTTTCAAATAAATAAATAAAACTTCAAAATTTTAAAGCAGAACTACCATAGGCTTCAACGATCCCAAAACAATTTAGATAAGCCAGAAAACAGGGTCTCGGAGAGCCAGTTACACACTCATGTCTCATAGCAGCACCGTTCACAATTTCCAATAAGTGGAACCAACCCAAAGGCCCACTGATGACTGAAGGCACAAAGAAAGCAGGTTATACAATGAAGCATAGTCATAATTATATTAGAAGGAAATCTTGTCCTATGCTTTAGGCTGGGTGAACCAGGAGAAAATAATGCTAAGAGAAATATGGTGAAAGAACCCAAAAAAAGTGGAAACAGGACAGAACACACTTTAGCAAAGACTCCTCACTGCAGGACAGACAGTACAGAATCCTCCTGCACACTGCGGCAGCTCCTGAGCCCAAATAATCACGCTTCAGCTAGCTCTAGATAACAGAACTCAGCAGCACCAAAGAGATGACTTGTCAACTTGGACCAATACCCATTGGTTACACGTCTCTATGGAAAATTCCACTCTAAGAACTGGTTCAAATATAAAATTTTATTACTCCTTATGAATAATTTCAGGCTAAATTTCTGGTTGCATTTTCTTAGCAAAATATGAGTTCAAATTCCAGAACAATAAGCATGTGGATAGCTCCTATAGTTACTATAGTTGTATGTATACATATATACACACACACACAGAATGATTTTTAAAATACAAAGAAAGAGTTTTCAAAAACTTCATGGAAAATGTATCTTATAAAGAAACCCTGTATCGAGTTTAAGACACTCTAGCAACAAAATAAATTATCCTCTAATTCCATATTCCTATTAAGTTTTCAAAGTACAATGCACAATTTTTTTCCAAGTTTAGATTCTTAAAAAAGAATGATTCTTAAATGCATTGGCTCATTTACACAACTTCCTTTATATTTTACCAAATATATTTTATTGAAAACTGGAATAAGTTCAACCTTTTTCTTTCCTCCCTCACCCTGCCTTTAAAAATAGCTGCGAGAAGGAAATACTGGGCACCAGAAGGAGTTGCAACGGGCACAGATGTGTAAACTGAGCCTGATCATGCCAAGCGAACGGGAGAGTTGAATGGCGTAACAGTTCCTTACCTGGCAACCTGTTCCTGGATGACATCATCTTTAGAATGAAGTAGATCAAAACCCAAATTTACTTCACTCTTTACAAAGTGTATTTGGTGAATGAAAGAATCTTAAGTTTAATAACAAAGCAGGGTAAGTGCGAACTGTGCCTTCCTGACATGTTCCCGTCGGATTCATGGAGTGGTGTCCTTTTTTTGAGTATAAGTGATGCTGGAGCAACAAAAGCACACAGTATCCAACCCAGGTTGCATGCAGAGTGTGATATTCCAGCTCAGGGACCAAGTGGGCCGTTTGATTTAGGAATCTCTAATTCTAGCTACACAATGCTGTGGAAATTTAAAATACAGGATGACTTGCTGGTTATTTTAACTGAAATTTGTAAAGTAGCTTAAATATAGAAATAATGCAAATTTTTCGTAATATGTTCATTATTATTTTAAATGTCCATGTTTGCTAGGAAATGCCATAAGGTATTTTGAATATATCTTAAAAGTATGCTATTGATGTGATCTTTTTTTTGTTGTTGCTGCTTTACTTCTTTCAAAGCGAAACAACATTTGAAAGGAGTTCTGGTTCTAACAGGAAGCAGAGCTTCGTTAGGAGCCATATAAGAGAAAGGAATTAAAAGTCAAAAAGTATAACCTGAGAGTCCAACCTTGAGAAGGTGTTCCTGGCGTAGTGCATGATGCTGTCAAAGTCGTACTCCTCTCCAAGCGAGTTCACTTCCCCGGGCTCCATCTTGAGGAAGTTGTACTCCTGACCTAGGAACCAGGGAAAACGAAATCTCAAACCCTTAACCGAGGCAGCAAAGGGCAGCACTGTCCTGCTCTTTGGAGCAGAATTGCATCTGCTCTTCCTTAAATGGCCCATCTCCTTGCTGCTCACTGAGTCCCAGCATGTGCTGTGAGCAGAGGTGGTCATGCTAAGCTCACACAGAAAGAGCAATGTAAGATCGGTTTGATGACTTCTGTGAAAACTTTGTAAAACCAAAGTTTGCAAACTTTGATGTATACTCTTTTACTCTCCCCTAATAGAAATTTCTTTAACATCTCTGTTTTCCTCTCCAGATTTCCCACCTTTTTGTTATGACTACATTTGCCAAGACACACACAATTTCTTCCTCTTGATTCAGAATTTCATAGCCTTGCTGTGAAAGCATGTAGAAACAAACTTGATAAAGACTGACTGCAGAGCTGAACAACGCAACTTCAGCATTCAATGTAAAACAGTGGCTATTCTACTTTTGTTCAAAATTGAAACAAGGTTCTCTTCTATGAAAAGAAGTTTCTATTTGGAATGTCTTCTTGATCAAGAAGAAAATAAGAACTTTTTCTTTTCTTTCTTTTTTCTTTTCTTCTTTTTTTTCCTTTACTTTTCACTTATGTTATTGTAACCTCATTTTTTTTTAAAAAAAAGATCCATTTATTTATATTGGAAAGTTAAATATACAGAGAGGAGGAGAAACAGAGAAGATCTTCTGTCTGCTGATTCACTCCCCCAATGACTGCAATGGCCAGAGCTGAGCCGATCCAAATCCGGGAGCCTAGAGCTTCTTCTGGGTCTCCCATGCAGGTCTCAAGGCTTTGGGCTGTCCTCCATTGCTATCCCTATCCCAGGCCACACACCTGGATATGAATTGGCAAAATGAGTACTTTAGCCACCAGAATGTGATATTATACTAGGGGAATAGATTCAATGAAGTCCATAAACACAATTGTAATAATACAGTCATTCTAGGGTCTCCATGGGACACAGCAAACTGATCCTCTGCCTGTGGTGCTGGCATCCCATACGGGCACCAGTACAAGCAGATGTTAACTTTCCATCCAGCTCCCTGCTTATGGCCTGGGAAGGCAGGGGAGGACAACATAGGGCCTTGGGCCCTTCGCCCATGTGGGAGACTAAGAAGAAAAAAATAAAGTATGAACATAACAGAAGGAATGTTGCATGGAGAGAGATGTCCTTCCTACCTGGTTTCACACAATAGTTCCGTTACCTAGGAAAGCTCTCACCTGGCTGGATGTTTTCTCTTATGATGGTCACATGGTTATCTCGATCCGGCCGTGTGTGCTCATGCCAGAAGCCTATCACGTGACCCAGTTCATGAACAACAATTCCAAATTTATCACAGTTCTTGCCAATGGAGATTGCCTGAGGTCCATTCCCTCGTCGACCCACATAGGAACAGCACCTACAACACAGCAGAAAGTGGGGACAAGGAGCCAGCGTGGGGAAACTGTCAATCATTGTGATGAGCCTTCAAGTCTGGCTCACTTGGAAGCTCTTTCCCTCGTGACGAGCCCTGCTTCTGGCATCCTTGTAAATCTATGTTCAGTTAACAATTCCAAACAATCAACGCAGTGGTTTTGTGATTACACATTATAGGGCATACCATAAGTCATCTTCAGACGTGTTCAGCAAAGAAGTCACAAATCATGACATGCTGGTTGTGTACATGCAAACAGTAGGCATCATTTCAAAAATTTTGCACAAATATTTTAATTGCTTTTTACAGTTTTTTGAGGTCTTATGTAACATCCAAGGCCTTTGTGACCAAAAGACAAAGCACATATTATAAAACAAAAACTATGGGTTTTATTTATTTATTTTTTTTCCCAAACTTACTTAAGTCATTTCTTGGCTCCACTTACCCACAAGGCCTATAGGTGAAAACAATGTAGCTCTCCTCATCATTCCTTTCAATGAAAGTCACACACGTGTGCTTTTCCCAGTGCCTCATGGCCTGCTTGAACATGGCTCGCTGGCTGCCTGGAAAGATTGCTGGTTATTAATACAGCGTGTCCAGCCCTGAGAGGAGCGCATTCAGAGCGTGGCTGAGCCACATGGAATGCCACTGCTGTCATCATCCTGAGACTTGTAGCACCACAAATGAGTCACTGTTGAGCATGGCACTCATTCTACAATCAGAAGCTGCGTGCTTGTTATCTCTGCAAATATGTGTGGACAAGGTTCTAGAAACGGGCCATTCTTTCTGTCAGTGGACAAGAGATTGGTCCCCTGATTGCATGAGAACATTTGAAAGTCTGTCTAAAAGCCAGGACAGAACTGTAGGCTCTTAGACAAGGCTACATTTATTATTTTTAATTAAAAGATATTTTAAACTAATAACCGAGGTTAATGGAGTATTTCTGCCAGTAGGATTATGATTTAATGCCATTCTTTTGACATTCATATTTTATAAAAATATACAATCAGCACGGCAGCTTCCCATTCTGCATCAAGGTCAGCATTCTGAGAGGACCTTACCAGTGAAGTTGCCTCCTATCACGTACGGGATCACACCTCCAGGCCAGATTCTCTCAGTTCTTGAGGTGGCAGCTCTGGGCACTCGGTTCTTCTCATTTGGCCCTGAGGATTTGGGAGGCACTTTTCCCTTCACTGTGCTGTTTTGTTCCAAGCCTGCAGTGACATTTAAAACATTGTGTGAAACAGAAGTCTCGGGTCAGGGAATCATTTACCTCTTATAGGTCAAAAACTAAAATGGCTTGTTTACATATTTGAATAAATATGCCTGGGATCGAGATGAAGTAAAGAAAAAAGTAAAACTTCAGTTATTTTACATTCTTGGAAAGAGCATTAAAATGTCTAAATATTTCACATCAAAACACTATTTGTTGATACCTTGAATAAACTTTAATGAATCTACGGACAACACCTAATAGCAAACAAAACTTAGACCACAGAAAAATTGTTTATGCTTGCAACTTTCTTACTTCACTTCCAATATACATATACAAAATAAAATCTATATTGCTTATAAGTGCATGATACTCAAACTAGTCTTATTCATGAGAAACTTCCCATCTTTTGAGTAAGAATTGAGATTATGTACAAAAGCTTAGAATTGTAAGTTTTACATGGGATAGATGTAAAATAAAATCACATCAAGACAAATGTGGTCCTGGTCTACCTGGGCCGTGCATTCTCTCCATGTTAACTCCTACTTAGAGACTAGAACAAAACGCACACTATTTCCAACCAGCGTCCAAGTCGGAAGTGATTTACCTTTTCCCAATATTTATCTACATGAGAAGCAGAAGGTCAAAGACAGAGAGATGCAGATCAAGAGATTTCATCCACTAGAGACTCGCCAAAGGCCGGCAACAGCCAGAGTACCATTGGAGTCAAAGCCGGAAAGGAGGAACTCCGCCAGGTCTCCCACATGTGGGCGAGGACCCACGTCCTGGAGCTGTAATCCGCAGCCCCTCTAGAGATGCACCAACAGGAAGCCAGGATGAGGGCTCCAGGTGGGACCTGACCTCAGGAGGGATGTGGCCCTCCCAACAGCTAGGTTAAGTGCCCACTCCCTGGGGGCTTTCACTTTTTCTTAGTGCCTTTCATAGTATTTTTTGTTCTTTTCAAATTTGCCCGCTTTTTTTTTATTCAACTATTACCATTGATGGAAAAGTTTATTGACTAGTTAGCACCACAACATGACTAATACGGAATGTCTCTAACACATCGGTTTTTACACTATTCTGGAGAAAAACATCTGTGTACTATAAGTGCTTAGTAATTCACCACTTTAAGGGCTATTGAGACGTGAGCAATGAAGACACAGCTTTTACAAAAATATTCATCTCTACAAATAATGGAAATAATGGCTAATAAATAACATAAATACTAACTATAAAATCAGAATTTAATTTCCCGAGTTATCTTTTCCTAACCGTACAAAAACATTTCATATTTTCTAGTAAGCTCATAAAATCAATTGATTAGCAGAATTTTTCCAAAACAGTTATTTATGACTCTTCAATTTCAGTCAAACTTTGAGAATGGTACTTATGGGCTATCAAGTGAATAACTGAGCTTTAAGCGCTGATATACCAGAGCCAATTCTTCTTATCCTGTCTATAAGCTGGTACAGAGCCCCTCGTTTCTTCGAAATCGCATGATCTCCAAGTCCACCTTCAAGAACAAACAAACAACAACAACAGTTAAGTTGCATTTAGTAACCTTTAGAAATCATTGCAAATAAGTAACGGTAACAGAGAAGACTGATGTTTTCCTTTAAACATCTTCTTCATGTGTATGGAAATACTGTATTTATGAAATATCCATAAATCTTTGTAGACAGTGAAAGTTGTATAGCCACAAATGCTGGCAACGAACAAAGGGGAGAAGGCGACTCGGAGAGCAGTGTAAATGACTTTATTAGGACAATGAGACAATTGAACCATTTACTGCTGACATGGAACATTTTTCTCCAGTGTGACCTTGGCATTCCATTGAGTTCTGCAGATGACAGCAAGGGTCTTTGCTCTGCTGGTTGCATTCCAGCTTCCAGCTCTTACCCCAGTGCAAACTTCAGATTTTCAGAGGCCAAACTGAGAAGTGGAAATAAGAACACTAGAAGACTAAATATGAGTTGCGACTTCTGCTCCAAAGTTTTATCCAAAACTTAAACCTTTTTAAAATTATATCAGTCAAGTGAATCTTGAAAAAATAATTTGTCTATAAAAATCAATAATAAATCCTCAGGAAAAAATCACAAGAATTTAAAAAATAACAATGACCAGCTATAAAATACAGTCTGCTTTTGTTATTTAATTTGAAAAAAAATTATGAAAATAAATGTGAAGAATTTGGTCACAAAAAAGGAAGAAGACAGAAACAAAGAAATGTATATTCTTGAAATTTTACAAAAAGGGATTAGAAAAAGAAGGTTCTTGTAATAAATCAAAAAACATAAAATTTAGTAAAAATTCGAGCTCCGTGATAGTTAACGTGGACTTCCCCACAATGGCATTGACAGTTCATCACCTATTTGTCTTAACTTCTTAATAGAGACATAAGTACAATCAGTAATGTCACTAGAGCAACTGAAGGTGAATTTATTCAACATTTGAGTGTCTGATTTGTTTGTGGAGTCTTGATGGGCTGGAATTCATGAACAAAGCAAGCTTTTCAAACTTAGAACTATTTCCTTCCAATCACTGTTATTCTATAAAATTACCGTGAAAACCTAATTTCCTAAATCGGAAATGAAATTATTCATAAGATCTATTACCATGTAAGTCTCTTAAAGAAAAATTCACGTAAGACCTTACAAGGCAAGTAGCTTCGAGTGCTTGTTCAGTGGCTAAGAACCTGCTGCATTGTTTGCACTACATGGTCACATCTGTGCTGTGCGTCTTGAGAAACATTTTTGAAATTTTTCATTGAAAATTCTAGAAAGATGAGGTAATACTTAAACATACTCATTCCTAAGCAGTTACAAGAAACATTTTTAAAGTATGACATCTGTGTGTTTAAAATGACCATTATGTAGCGAGTATATTTATGTTAGATGGGTCTGAAACAGATATAAATAGATTTATGGGAGCTAATCATGAGAAAAAGAAAAGGTCTTTGTTAATATTATAATAATGCTAAAGATGAGACTAATGACAGAATTGAAAAAGTAAAATTTCAAGTTGTGATAACGTGTCTAATAATATTGTTAGTGATTAGAAAGATTCTGTCAGCAAATGAAATAAGTTTCTGTGTAGGTAGTTCATTGAAAAGGAAAAGAAAAAATAATTATTATGCATATATTTGAAAACAGAGCTAACACATACAGCATGCTAACTAAATTAATGAGTAAGGTGAAAACTGAGTAGAAACTAAGTCTCTTAACAGGCTAATTGGTGTGCAGGAAATCACAGTTGGAATGTGGGACATGAAAAACGACCCAGAGAAGCTACAACGTTTTAAAAGGAATAATTCCAGTAACATGAATAAAAACTGAATGAAGCCATCAGCCTTACCTGCGGCATGAGCCAACTGTCCAAAAGGGTTCTGCGTCAGGTCAATGGTCCTGTCTATTTGGAAGATGTTTAAGTCTTCATCCTCTAAGGCAATGTCACCCCAAAATACAGCTGCAAAAGGAAAGCTGAATTAGAATGTAAAATATTTCAGAATGAAATAACTGCAAACACAACTAACTAGGAAAGAAGGAAACTTCTATTTGTATGGAAATATGGCCTAGAGACAGATGTCTTTACAGAGTCACTAGGGCTTAATTTAAGCACCAGTTACCAATTTTAAGCCATTGTTTAAGAGCATAACCCCTATTTCTTTTTTACTTCGATATTTGTGGGGACAGGTAAAGCACCTACTTTGAGGTCATTGATTTATGGAGGAGGGGGAGTGATTCTTGAAAAAAGAAATCACGTATCATGAGGTTATCTGTAAATGTCAAGATGTGAAAATCCGAGAAGCTCTACATACTAGTTACATAATGATCATACTGATTTGCTTTCCCAACATCACTGTATGAAGGGATCCTTTTCTCTACAAGCAAAAAAATATCAATGTTTTCCTCTGTTCGGGTAAGTCAATACAGATGGGTTATAAAAAGTCCATAGTTATTATTTGGTATTCTAGACACTGCCCCACTGAAATACGCCATGTAAATGACAACATAGCATTCTTTCCCCTATTTCATGATCACTGTCATAAATCCATTCGTGATGTTAGTATCCCAACTTTGAAGATGGCATTTACATATGTATGTATATAATACCTATATATGAAGTAAATATGGCGAAACGTTAAACTTTATGCAGTTTTAAAATATATTTGTTTAAGAGTCCAGAGGTCTTTTACTTTTCTTTCCCTTGTTACGCCATGAATCATCAAGGATGGGCTCCGGCAGGTTCCTTCCAATCGGTTCCGACAACGTGTGCTGTTCTGGGCGGAGCTTCAGTGGGACCCAGGTACCTTTTGCTTCCGCTTCTCTCTTTTGCTGATCCTTCACTTGTTTCAGGAAACTTTCTTGGCTCTTAGAGTGCTTAATATGCTCAATACACACATTTAAACTCTTGGCAAGATTCTTGCTCTTGATTTGTTTGTTTACAACTGTGCCAACAGCATGCTGGGTAACATTACAGACTCTCCAGTTCTGCCATGGTTAACATTTATGGGGCATTCCTTTCGGACAATACCCATCCCCTTGATGTCTGCAGTGTCACCTTTCTTGTAAGCGCACGTGTGTGGCCAAAGGACCAACTGCATGTTCCCTAAAGGGCCTGGAGTAATGGGTAATGTAATGGGTGCCTTTGCTCATTTCCTTTGTGTTCGTCATCTTAGTGAATTCCTGGAAGTTGGCGGCTCCGGCCGAAACTCTTAAATATAAATATATTTAAAACAAAAAATCTGAAGAGAATGACTGCGTTTCCTGTGGATCTTGTGACCCTCGGTAAGTCTTCACTGATGGGTAAGAGTCCTAATACTCACGACCTGTATGCTGGGACTGCTTGAACAAAGTGAGGTGACGTCACAAAAAGACAATGTCAGCATAGTTCACCCATGAATGCTGCTTTTCCCCAAAGGTGACATGCCTTTAGATCTCTGCAAAGTGGACACGCCACTACCAAAAGAAAACATATTTGATCCAAAGCTTGGTGTCGGGCTTTTGATCCTCGGTAACAACCCAGGCATTGCCCAGCTATCAGGAACCTCAGAGTCAGTGCGTTGGACCTGGACAGCCAGTTGGCTCTGAGTTTACACCTGCTATGCTGTGATGCTTCAGAAAACAAGGCGATCTACGTTCTTGTGAAATCATGGGAGAATTCATTTGTAACTAATATGCGAGCTTATTTCAAGGTCAGAAATACACATTAGCCTCCTTGACCAACCAACTGGTCAGTCCTGCCAGATGTCCAAATGCAGTAACTTCAGTAAACACCCAAAATCTGAGGCAGAGAATAACCAAGAAACAATAAAACAATGACAATGGTCCAGGTTTTTGGAATATTCATTTTTGACACAGGTTTCTTTCTTTCTTCTTTTAAAGCCAAGACAGAAATAGAAAAATACTCTAAAAGGTTTACAAAGTGACATGCTCTGAGCTTTTCAAATGATCATTTTATACTGGATGAACAGTTTACTATATAGGAATTTTTAAAGCTATAAAACATTAATTAAGAAAATTAACTTCTGAAATGTAAACACCAGTCTTAATAGCGATGTTATTCTTTAAACTTCTTGTAACACTTTGTCACATAAAATCATCTGCCCATTTTATTTTTCTCACTGAAATCTCTCATGAGGTAAGATGGGATTAGATTTAGGTGAAAATCTAGAAAGAAAGAAAATAGAGTTTGGTTCATGTTATATTATCAGTTCAACATAAGAAAAAAATTCATGAAGACTAGAAGACTAGACTCCTTCATCCTGCCCTTCTTTCCCACTGAAAACAGAATGTCAGTTTACTGAAGTTGAGATGTTTACTGTCTTGTGTGGTCATAAAAAAATCACAAAGTGCATACAGAATAGAGTGGCTCAGAGTTTAATGCCTGAAATTGAACCCTGATTCTAACCAGTTTCATACCTGTAGCAGAAACCACAAATTCTCTGATGCCCTTAAAGCCAGGCATCCAAAAAAGTCAAGGGGTCTTCAATCAGTTCACAGAAATATGTATATTATGAAAAAACCATGCAGCAGTTTCAAATCTTTGCACAAAAACAAGCTTCTCTCCTAGTCCTGTCGTCTGCAAACTTATTTGAAGCCCCACGAAACACAACTGGGCTCACGAAATATTTTGTGTATTACAATACTGAAGTTGCTGATTTTCATAAATATTCATTTCATTTGTCCTGAAAGATTTAAGGTAAATCCAAATTTGCTAGTTATTTACAACTGGCATGTGTGCTACTACGCAAAAATTTCTGGCCAGCAACTGACAGAGACTCAGCCAGTCTTCCTTTTTCTGGCACAGCAGTAAGTAGACAGAAAAATTGTGTTTCTGTAGTTTTCATTTGCATAGCAATCACAGCCATCGGGACAAAATGCACACTCCCTGACAGCAGGTCTGCAGAGCAGACTAGGTCCGACATGGTCAACTCCCCATTATCACAGATGATCGTCTCTGTCAGCATCATTAGAAGCACCGATTTTTTTCCTGCAAGAATGAATTTCTACTCTCCTCTGAATCAGCTGGTTGAATTAAATAAGGAGGCATTCAGTCAAGAAAAATGAGTGTTGTCAGTACTACATTTCACGTAATAAAAGTAGCACCAGTGAAATAAAATTCCAATGTGTTTCAGATTTGTGTTTTCTTGAAGTGATTTTTCACATGCAGTAGGATTCCTGTCCTGAAGGATTACAGCAAACACAGATCAGCAGTCCAAACATAAATCACTTCACAGAAGCAAAGGTGCTCCTTCTGTGGAGAAGAAAAAGCTAGCTGGGACTTACAAGGAGATGAGAAAGCTCTGGAATACACAACCCCACTTTATTAGTCACATTATTTTTTTAAACTAACTTCAAAATAGTTTGGCAGTTCTGCCTACATCATAGACTGCTCAAGGAGAAAACCAAGTATTTATTTGAAAATCAGAAACACAGACTGACCAAGGCAATTCATTTATGTGCAATCATGATTCACTGTCGGCCATATATGTCATTGAGCCTCAATATTACTAATAAGGAAAAATTGATTTTACAATTTTCAACATATCCTGTAGTTTATACAGTTTCTTTTAATACAGGTTGCAGTTGAAGGTTTCCTTAACTTTCTTTCTAAGCCTAAATGTTCTATTTCTGTATGTTAAGACATGGTGATTATGCATTAGTAAACAATGTAGCAATGTACCTTGTATATATAATAATGTACCTTAATTGCACACACAAAAATGTATGCTGATTAAAGTGGAACCTTATATATATTTGATGTTTAGTCACAAGGAGATATATACACTCATAAAGTTTGCTTTAGAGTTTTTCCTTTTCCTTTCTATCTGGTATTTTTTGTTTATTTTACATAAAAGAACCAAAAGTTACAGAGACCAGTTTTACAAGTACGAGTTGTCATGCATTTGGTGTATTTAATACAGTGATTTAAAAATGGGTTCTAAAGGATATATCTAGGGAACCGTTTGAGTACAACTGGAGTATTTACTATCAACTTGAAATCCTACTAGGATTCCTACACTCAAAAGGGAGCCAAAGTGACCAACAGTCCCAAATTAAATGTCACCAACAACAGTTTGTCAGCTTCCTGGAAAACCAAGCTTCTGCTTTTCACCCAAAGGTCATTTGCCATCAATGTATTACAAAATTAATTCTAGCGTACAGTGTAGATGCACTTCATAAACTAGCACATGTGCACACTCAAAAACATTGAATGCTGTTCCTACACTCTCACTCGAAAAGGAGCCTGAGATTTCCACCCTGTTCCCCAACTCCTAGGATCCTCTGTCCTTCATGTCTGGAACTGGGATCAGCATTAAAGAGGGGGCATATGTCTTTCCAAAAGTTGTACACACACAAAAATGCATGGGCTTATAAACACTGACATCACATACTTTTCTGAGACAGACCCACAGTATGTCAAAAGGGATCACACAAGAAAAGACAATTATTTTTGCCAAAAGCAAATCCTTCCAGTCAACTGAGAAAATATTTGCAAGCCAATGCCCTCAGGAACATGAGCATGTTTGATTGAATTAACACAAATATCTGCTGTGTGGTTACTACAGAATAGCACAGCTTGCACGTACTTCCCATAGCTACTGCTCACCAACTCCCCTCCCCAATGGACCCCACTTGCAGCCTCATCTGCTCCCTGCTCCCACCAATAATAAATGGATACACAGGACCTCACAACTATACTTTCATTCATCTGATTAATTCTGAAAATGCAGATCATCACACAGGGGGCATGTGTTGGCCAAAATAATTGATATTTAACCATTCCAAAGAATGAGTATTCCCCCAAATCCTCACTTTAGGAATCCAGCATATTATCTCTACATGCTGTCTGTTAACAACCAAAAAAACTTACCTTTATTTGAATGGCAGCACTAACATATATATGTACACATATACAGATACAAATGTATGATTATGAACATGTATAACATTATATGATCA